ATTACTTTTTCTGTTGTTACCTATTAATTTGACAAAAGTTTGTTTCTCGTCGTCGTCATTGCCGTCATCATCAGCCATCAACCATCGTCAGCCATCATTCACCACCACCTATCAGTCATCATCAGCCATCAATCATAATCAAACTTCATCAGTCAACAATCGCCGCCAATCATCATCGTCATCAACAGTCATCAATCATCGTCTGTCACCAATCATCATCAGCCATCAATCATGATCAAACATCGCCAGTCGAAAATCACCGCCAATCATCATCGTCATTATTAGCCTAATCGACATCAGCACTAATTTAATAAAAAAGTCTCTAAGACGCCACATTCAGCCATTTATAGTTCCTCAAAGTGTTTTAATGCTTGCTTGCATCTCGGCCTGAGACAGTGTGTTCTATTATAGGGGAGCATCTTGGGAACTGTTCCTATCGTCTCTAAATCCTTTTAAGAAAAGTCCATTACTTTTTCTGGAATCAGTTCTCTATATCCATATATTTTGCAAGCTCCTAACATGATTATACGTTTTGATCGTTGCTCTACGGTCAGAAATTCGATGAGAGACCTGGCTTTGCCATGTCAAATAATTTTGCAATCAAAAATGATGTCTAGAAGTTCATCAGGCAAAATTGCAATAAAAAGAGTTTCGCTGTATTTTCTCTTCGTGATTCAACTACATAATTAAAGTTCACCTGTCTTTCTAATCTTCATTCTTGAGCCAATAATTTGAGCTAATAGTTTTCTCCTGAATGACCAATTTTATTTTCCCGAAAGCACTGAAAAGACCATGCTTTCCCATTAAATTTTTTCACTTTATTTCTGAAATAACTATCAGATCTCCGTGTCTGAATGCAGCTGTCAAAATTTTCAACCATGACATTGTGCCATCCATTAACCCTCATGAAGAACGTCAAACAAGATACCAGATCATGGTTTTTGAGGTTTTTGTTCCCTGGAGACTTTTTCATATGGTATTGCCTTCTTGTCTGCCAATGTCAGTGTTATGGTGAAATGTTAACTAATTAAAAAAACACGGTTCCTTTAGCCAGACTTCTTTGACAATTCTTTCATGCTCTCTATTTCAAACATTTACGTAGAAAAGTCGAGATTTTCTAAAGAAAGCAGGCAAGGTGGTATATATTCCAGAAAAATTAGAAAATGTAATCATTCTTTCACTCAATCGCCTAATATTCAATTGGTATCTCATTAGCTATTTCGTGGGGCAAATCATCCCAAAAAAATTTCGTTCACCACTGGTGGAAATCATATTGTTTATCTAAAGTTTCATAGAAATCCTTTGGTTTCGTGGAAATCTCGTACTCTATTTGCAAAAGTTTTAATGCGTATAGCAAATTGACTTCGTATCAGCCGAGTAGCTGCAGGGGGCACGGGAGGGCTGTGCCCCCCAGATGAGAAGTTTGACAACAACTTACCCCCTCTTGCAACACTTTTTCCAATTGACATTTTGAAAAACCGGCATAATTATAACTCCGTGAGCTTGATTTAGTCCAAATATATCTGTTTGTTATATATCTGCTCTCTTGTTTCAAAGCCTGCCCCCCTCAGGCATGGTTCTTTCCCGAGTTTGCCCACCCTAGCCGACACAGGGGCGTCCCTTCACACTTTGTGTTCGGGGGGGGGGGGGGTTGGTTGCATACTTGCCCTGCAAAAAAAAAATTTTGCCCTCGCAAAAGTTGGAAATAATGGGAACTGGCCCTCAGTTCCCGTAACAGTAAAATACTGTTCACATAAACACCAACACATAAAATACGTTAAGTTGTTCCCGCTTACTTCCTTGCTCAGTGTGTCCACAAGTTTACCCATGTGTTTGCCTAACTTTGGGGAGAAGAGCAAGAGAAAGTTTTTTAATGAGTGAGGCAACCCTCCATCCTGGATTCAAAGAGCATGTGCTCATTTTTTACAACACACTTTCGATAAACACACTAGCAGTTCACAAGATAAGGGTATCAAAGCTTTCCTCTATGCCATCAAAAATCATTATGGGGAAACTACCCTGCTGCATATAAAATACAACAGATGGTGATTTTTATTCTCAAACATAATTATATTGCCTTTACACTTTCTTTTTGTAAGAACAATTTTAAAAGAACACGAGCTTCAAAATTGGTCAAAAGTTGAGAACAAATTAAGAACAAGCTGAGGCTGAGCTACTGTAAAATGTAACTTTGAACAATGTCTCATCTCAAAAACGAGGAGTTTTTGCCATCTTGGGATTCTTTTCGGTGAATATTCAAACATGGCGGCAAATGAAAGTTTTCTCATGCACTTCGTTGGCAAATGAGGCCTGGACACCTCCCTAGAGTGAAAAATTAGCAATCGCACTGCTTATACCCTATAAATTTAAGAACAAATTAAGAACAATTTCTACTTCGTGTCCCTAGTAGTCTGTATCATTTTTCTTTTGGCGTAGACAAATGACAAGCATAATCTACTTTCTTGTTACAGTTACATAAGAAAAACAACAAAACAGATTAGTTGGTAGAAAACATTTGCCCTGCAAAAATAGGTTTTGCCCTGCGAAAAGGTCCTACTTCAGTGGCTGGAGAGGGGGGGGTGAACCACCCCATACCCTCCTGCACGTGACGCCCCTGAGCCGGCATCTACCGCTACGTGGTTGCTTCGTATCACTTGTGACTGTAATTTGTATTGAAACAGTTGCCAATTGCATTCAGATTGTACTTTGTGTATAATCTCATTGAGTTTACACAGGCCGTAATCGTTCTCCACTGAATACGAGAAAAACAACTTAGAAAAGTCTTTCTCATTTTGTAGTAAAAAAATCATGGATGCAAAAATGTTTTACAGCAATAATTAATTAGAAGAGAATTATAATTAGTCGTGTTTATTCTTAGAGAGAATTAACGGACATAAATCAATGTATGTTTTAGAAGTAACTTCAAATTCCATTTTGCTTACATAGAAATCTATCTGTGCCCAAAGAAATAATTGTTTGGTATGTCTGGTAGTAAGGAGCCATTTCATCTTTTTTCGCCTATTTACGAAAGTTGAATTAACCAATTTTATATCTGTTGATTCCCACTTTTGGTTTTTGCTACTTATAGAAATTTTCGATTTCACCTCAGCTTAAGTTACACTGCCATACTACAACGCAAAGGATCCTAAGGGAGTCACTTGAACTTTTTATAAAAAGGGGAACATCTGCAATTATCAACATTCACGTAAAGCATCAAAACAAATTTAAAAGACCCATAAGTATCAATTAAAAAGTTTATGTGGGACCCAAAAATGTCAAAATTAAATATTTTGTCGCTGAGTACATAAGAAGCTATTAGCTATATTAGCTTAGACAGTTTCTTTTAATTCTCAGTTTAAACAACATCTATTCCATGACATCAGACTTTAGAAGAGAGATACACAATATTATACAGATCCAGCTGATGAATTCAGTTCAGCATTTGATGGAGCATTAAAAATTTTATTGATTTTGTTATGTGCTGGTTGAACCAAAAAGTATCATAGAGGTGTCATGTTAAATCAGGTACCAAAAAGTATCAGATAAGAAGGAAAATTCTTACCCATGATAATCGGATAGATCCCCCCGGTATATAAAACGCTCAAGTGACCCCCTGGTCTTTGAATACAGTATGTAACTCTATTCACCAGACTCCCTTCTGTTTCATCATGTTTTTCTGTCCCTTAATAGTACTCATTTTGATTCGCAAGGTAAGTACCAAATATTCCCTGCTTTTTATATGGCTCAGTAATTCCTCTCTTGCTTTCTGGTCCAGAGCCTCCAGCCAGTCTTTTCACCATTTCGTCAATCTTAGCAGCTCTATCTTCACTTGGTAGATCTTTGAATCTCTTTGATTCTACAACCGTCACCCTGGCTGGGTCACTCCGTCCGGTCTTATCCTTGCTACGGGCAAGCCTTTCCGTCAGTGAATCGATCTCTTCTTGCGACATCTGACGATCGTTTTTTGGCTTTGAGCCAGATTCCTTCCGTTGAGCCGGATCTTTCTTTGTCTTATGCAATCGATCAACAATTTGATCAACTTCTTCTTGGGGCAACTTTTTCGTCTCCTTCTTTGTTTCCTCGTTTTTGCTTTTGGTATTTTTTGTTTTTGTTGTATGCAGTCTATCAACAACACCACTGACTTGCTCTTTATCCATTTGCTTATCTCCGTAGACTTTCCCACCACTTTTTTCTCTGCTGTTATTTTTGCCGGAATCATTGTTACTGGTTTTTTCGCTTTTAGTTTTGCTTGTATTAGCTTTCTGGTGATCCTTCTTTGAGCTTGCACCACTTTTTTTAGAGTTCGCTTGATTTTCTTCCTTCTTTTTATTCGCATGGCCTTTCGGTTTTTTTGATTTCTCATTAGTTGCCTTTTCTTCCTTTTTGGAACTTTTCTCATTTTGGACATTTTCTTTATCACTCTCCTTGGCAGAATCCTTTGCGCCAGAATTTTCAGTCTCATCATTTCCTTCTTCTCTGGAACTCTTATCACCTTCCTTATCCATCTCCTCATTTGTACCTTCCGTCTCTTTCACTTCATTTCCATCGCCATCTTGGGTTTCTTCTTTTGAATTATTGTTCTGTTCCGTATTCATCACTTCGCTTGCACCTTCCACTTCCTTTGTCTCTTTTTCATCTTGAGGCTCGTTGCCTTCAAATTTCTCGTTGTCATAGTTACTTTCATTTTTGGTCTGCTCCTCCTTAAAGTCCTCAGTTTCTTTCCGTGAATTTCCCGATCCGATTTCAGCGGCTGGTTCTTCAACTTCAGCTCCAGTTGCATGACTCTCAGAACCTGTTTCTACCCCAGCGTCATCATTTTTTGCATCATCACCTTCTCCCCCTTTATCATGCTCCTCCGCACTGACGTCTCTCCCTTCCTCTTTCCCGTCATCTGCAGCATCTGTATGGAGTTTATTTTCACTTTTATCACCTTCATTGTTCTCCGTCTGCTCAGATTCTTCTTTGGGATCTTGCGTCTTAGCTACTCCTTCAATATTGTTGTCCATTTTTTCCCCAGGGTTATCTTCTTCATTGAGGTTTGCGACTCCATTATTCTCCTGTGTCTCAGTTTCATCGTTAGCATTTTTATTTTCTTCGCTCATCTTTTCTTCATCTTTAGTTGTTTCATTTATTTCTTTATTGTTAATAACATTGTCCTTTTTGGTACCATCCTCTCCGGACTTCGTAACAGGATCATCTTCTTTCTGCTCAACCGCTTTACTAGCTTCCAGATCAGGCTCACTTGAGCTTCCTTTTACAATCTCATTTGCTGTTGTTTTTTGCGATTCACTAATTTTCGAGTCATTTTCATCATCTTCTTGGACATCCTCATTGCCAGTACCGATATTTTGGTTCCCATTTTTGTCACGATCTGCGATTATCTCCTGCTTTTCTTGAACCACCGTTTCAATGTTTTCATCCTTCCCTTGCTCGCTAACATCACCGCTTTCACGAATGTCAGACCTACTTGTCGAATTCTTCTGCTGGACTTCTTCACTGGTCTCTCTCATAACTGAATCTTGAGGTGCACACAACTACCTTTGCGTACTACTGACAGAACTAAGAGCTTCCGTGGCGAAAATCGTTTTGTTTACACCAGCCTGGTACTTAGTTGCCAAAACAAGAGGATTCTTGCTGATTAAGACAGTTATTTAATAATTAATACCAGTTCAGTCTGGGTTTGATTCCCATTCATTCATTGCTATGTCTGTATCAAGGCTTGGTTACCGGCCTTTAATTATTAACAGTGAAGCATTGGGAAGTTCTCTCTGTTTTCATCTCCAAAACCTTGTGGGTCCGTCTCAAGAGGATTAATTGTATTGTAATGAATTTCGTATTTATTGCTCATTGGTGCATCCATATTCAATTGTCGTGGTTGCTCCTTATTCACGATTCAGGCTGATAATTCAGATGTGAATCTGAATGAGCCGGCTTGGCAGGTTCTATTAAAGCAATGCACTGTGGTCTTAATTTGCAATTCTCAACCAGGATCCTAGCAGCTTGACTTTGATCTAAGCGCCCAAATCAACCCTGGATATAAAAATTGTAGAAGCCACGGTGAGCTAATTGGAGTTCTACGAGCCTCCTCGTGGCATCGAGGTCACTGTGCTAAACACAAATTATTACGAGTGGGTCGAATCGCATGAACAGAATATATCGCATATCTGAATGTTATAAACTGTGCTCAGCACAGTAGGCCTCGTTGCGAAGAGAAGGCGAAGTATAAACTACGGTCTTGTCCAATATACATTAGGAAGAAGTCAAGAGAAAGGGGATTATTTTAATTCTAATTACTAGACACTGAGGCTCTGACACCCAGATTAACCTCCCTTTGTCGATTCTCAGATCAGAAAATCGCCAGGATAATCATAGAAAAATTAACAGCATAGCTCGTTAAATTTTGAGGTTGTATAAGAAGTGGAGAGTTAGATAATGAGATCTCCAAAATACACAAAATTACTTCTGAAAGGGGTTTCCAAATTTTGAGCAGCAATGAAAGAAAGAATATCACCCTATGCTAAAAAATACTTAGAGTCAACGATAAGCAAATATTGCGGACTTGCAGGTGTACTTTTCAGGCATATGGCAGGCAGTAGCCACTTGCAGGTCCATACCCTTAGCCCTTATCCTTGAACCGTATTTTGATATTTCTATTTCAATCTTTTTATGCCTATACAAATATTATTCATATTGTCTTACTAAAACCACCTATCCCGTAGAGTGAGGTTCGTGTAAAGCGAGAAATCGACATTGAAGTACCCAAGGTCATGTCTCATAATTTGAGAAAGAGTATTGCTATAATACCGTTTCTCATTTCCCCTGAGATGCAAGTGAACCCTTGTGTTCGACTAATATAAAACATGGCTTTCAGTGAAATAAATCGAAATACGGCTTTAAATGAAGCAAATCTCCATGGATTCGGATCATAGCAAAACGTTTAAGTAACCACAATAAATATGTTATATCATTGATGGAATCTCCCTTTGCTTGGCTTGTCAAATATCTTGCAATAACGAAAAGGGGCTGTGGCATTTAATTCTTCACACTTTGCATCACAACTTTCATTTTTTAGGGGCCGTAAACATATCATTTTTCTCACCAACAACGTTGTCTGGTCGTTTTCATTTAGACCCCCCTAGCTCCCCACAAAACGTCCAAAATGTAAATATCGATATAAGCGAAATTTGTGCCTAGATTTTGCAACGCTTAGTTTGTGGGAGACTGCAGTACTGACCCTACATTCATATCAAATTTCACTGCAAAAAGTAAGAAATACACTTTCGACTTTAAACTTCGACTTTAAACTTCTGCATTTCAAATAATAACAGCATTCTAAAGAACAAGATGGCCGGACAGATGACCAACTCAAAGCCAAATGCGCATAAAAAGGCCAAATAAAAATATTTCGCAAAATACACTCCACAAGCTTAGTATACTTCTATATATATCTGTATACAGAAGAGGCTTTTAAATCAAGGAACGATATATCGGGGGGCCAGCCCCCCAAAAAGACTTGAGTAGCATATGCAAAATACTTTTATTTTGTGAAATAGGGCTATTGTTACACTTATTTCTTAGGGCTGACCCTCCAAGCAAAAAGTTGTATCTCGGTCTTTGTTTTATATAACTAACCAAAATCAAACAAGAATACGAGGAACTATCACATTAAAGTAATTCTTTCCCTGACCATTAGGCTATGAAATAATATTTGACATTTTGGTTCAGGCTGTATGCTATTGCTCTTTCCACTTAAAATTTGTTTGTTCCTTAGGGTGTTAAAGCTTATGTACGACAATGGAATGTCCCTGAAATTTAAGCTTAAATGGCCAGAAAATGTCAAATTTTAAGAAGTAGACCAAAAAAATTTGTCAGGCAATTTGACTTTGAAAAAGGCCAAAACTGGAAAATTTGGCCTGAAAAAGGCCAATATAGCAACCGTTTTGATGTCAATTATAATTTTCAAGGAGGGGTGCCAACTTAACAGGGGGGCTGTGCTGTAAGAACACACCTACGAACAAACCCAATATTCTTGCCTTTGTGTTAAACACTCTTGGTTGTTGGTTTCTATGAAATCATTCAAACTCTTCACCTTTTCAAAAATAATGATAAGAAATTGCTCGTTTATGGAATATCAATAGCATATCTTTCTGCTTGAGGTGGATGTCATATATGTCAAAGACAGCTGTCCACAAATCACATTCTTGTTGCTGATCATGTTCTTGAGTTCTTCATGATTCAAAAACTTAATTGGAATATAACTTTACTTTAAACAAGAATTTTATCACTGTACATTAATTTCGGCCTCCAAGTAAACAGAAAAGGTACCATCAAAGAGCCTTGCCGAGCACTCAAAGAATTTTTTTTCCGAGAACGAGGCAATAACATAGCTGAAAGGAAGATGGCGTCCAGACAAACGGGAAAGTTAGAGCCTAAATTAAGTAAAACTGACAGAAAAGCTCTGAAAAAGCAAGCGAGAAAGCTTCTGTCATTACAGCGAAATGAAGATGGCCTAAAATTGTCCGAAACACCAACGAGGCACATTGTAATAGGGAATGGAGGCCTCATGTGTGGCATGGAGCGAAGTTCCTTATTGCGTTTGTTTGGAAGATTTGGCCACGTGGAAGAACTGTGTATGATCCCCAAAAAGCAGTTTGCTTTATTATCATATCAGAAGGAATCTCAGGCAATGAGCGCGTACAGTGATATAAACGGACGCCCATTAAAATGCCCCGAAGATTTATCTAAAAGCGGAGTAACGTTATACCTGGCTTATTTAATGGACAAATTTGAAAAATCAACTTTTAGCAAATGGAACATCAGACCTGTGCTTCCTTCTCAGAAAGAGCTCCACCCACCGGGACTAACTGTAATAGAAGACTTTATTTCAAGCAGGAAAGAGAGAGAATTACTGAGTTTTTTCACAATGGAGAGTGATGATGGTAAGTTTCAATCGTTTTTTGTACCACCTATACATACAACTACACTCATTTTTTACAAAAAATCTGGGTTGAAGTTTTTTACAAAAAAATACACCAGTTTCTCAATACTTTGACAATTTCAATGTTCATTGTTTCTTATAAATTTCTTAATTTATTTTAATATCAAGGGTAATTTAAAGATTTGACATTGAAGTTTATGCTTAAATTTATTTTATTTTTAATCATGTTACATAACATTGGATTCTCAACATTGTTTTGCTTTGTAAAACATGTTAATTGGTTTGCCTATAGCACAAGATGGTTACCCTTTGATGCCACACATCATATTAAACGCAATCTGGCTAAAAATGCGAGAATTTATGAATTTATGAAATTGTTTATTGATAGATGTTAAGACAAAGATCTAGATTTGTTTGTTTATTCTTAACCTTCCGATGTTCATTTGTTTAAAGCATTGCATTTGTATCTATCAACAGACGCAGAGAAGCCAATGAAACATAGAAAAGTAAGACATTTTGGTTATGAATTTATTTATGGAAAGAACAACATAGACAAAGACAAGCCACTTGATGAGGATATTCCTGATATTTGCAAGCCAATTATTGATAAAATGGTAGATGATGGTATTATTTCATGGAGACCTGATCAACTCACTGTAAACCAATATGAAACTGGACAAGGTATGTAGAGCTTTTAACAAATCAGCACCTCCAAAGAGGGGGACAGGAGGCAATGGTCTCCGGTTTTTTTGCAAAACACTAGAGCTTTCTGCAAAATTATTTGTTTTTAAAATTTAATGTTTGATATGATGTCCCTTTTTGTATTGATAGCAAAAAATGCTTCTCTTTATTGCATCGCTAAAAATCTATGCCCATTCTTTAACACCAACCATTTTTAATTTTTGCTCAGGTATACCTCCACATACAGATACACACTCAGCTTTTGAAGATGGAATATTATCTCTAAGTTTGGGATCTCAGGTGTGTCTTCAGTGTTATTTTTTCTGCTAGTCAGTCCCAGAAGGATCTGAAACAATGATTTATATGTGTTCATGCATTTCTGATTTTTTTAAAGCCTGGTTTTGACCTCATTTTTAATCAAAGAATCTTTTGGTAAGATTGAAAAATAAAGGGAATTTAAGAACATCTTTTTGTGCAATGTCAGAGTATAAACTCTATTTTTTTGCTCATTAATCATCAGTTTCTCTCATGTAGCATAATTTATTCTTTCTTAGGCCATTTCAAAGGTGGTTGAGACTTTGACACTTAAGTATGATTTATTTATTTCTTTCATATTTAGGTTGTCATGGATTTCTGTCACCCAGATGGCCAAGAACGTCCTTTGATATTGCCAAACCGGAGTCTTTTGGTGATGAAAGAAGAAAGCAGGTATCTTTGGACCCATGGGTATGTAGTCTGTTTCATACAAACTGTCTTCTATTGAAATTTGCTTCTCTTTCTGTTGAAATGATATTCTGTAATAAGTTGCTAGTTAAAGACCAGCCATGAAACATAGAATGTCTTTAAGTAATTCTTTTAATAGAAGAGAAAACTGGTAAGCAGAGCTCTGAAAACATTGCAGTCATGCGACCAATAAAGTGTCATGATCAAACTCAGTGAAAGCTGTTGAATACAAAGGAAATTAAAGTGCCACAATTTAAACTCCACCTTATTTTCTTTGCTTTCTAAAGGAGGTTTCCAAAGCTTGAAGAGTTGGTCTAGAGCAAAAACTTTCATTTTTCTCAGCTCTACAGTAATGATGTGATGTCCACTGGCTATCTTCATTTAGAATCTGCAATTGTTATAAGAAATATTTTGAATTGTAATTCAAATGGTGGTAATATTTGAAATAGCCTTGAAATTGCCTGTTGTAAAAGCCCCCAACCTGACATGCCAAGTTTTATAAAGCATAACTTTAGTCCATGATAGATAATATTTTCAATTTTAAGTAAGATCTAAACTAAGCAAAGCATGTCTCAATGTCGGTCTTTTCGATATTGGCCTGCAAAATGTTTACTTTCTTTCTAGAAAAAAGAAGAGGCTTTTAAAAAAAGTTATTTGTTTTTATGACTATAAGTGAATTTTTGTAAGCTCCCAGCCACTTTGAAGGTCTCTGTTTAAGCCTTCATCCAACACGTATCAAATCAACACAAAAAGGGCGTGTCTCACTCTTTAAGGATGTGGTCAAAAGATAAATACTTTTACATGCTGCTTTTATGTGTTACCGCTTCAAAGCTCATACTCTAGTGCCATACTTTGAAAGTTCAACTACACAGAAATATTAATATGTTACAATTGTTGCAGAAAGGTTTCAAGGAGAGTACAAAAACTGCTTCTTTTGTGCAGCAAATATCTTGTGCCAACAGACAAAATGTTGGAGGGTACGGCATCCCCCCTTTGGTGAGGCCCCTGTTATTCAGGGATTGTTGGTTGATTGACAATTTTTTGGTAAGTACACTTGCCAACTAAAGCCCAAACAGACATATTGACTGATCAGTATAAGCAGCAGAAAGTTGGAAGCTACCTGTTTATGGATTTATAAATTGCGTATAAGTTTAAACACATTACTTCTTGGTGAATATTATGCCATAAACGTTATATTTGTGCAGGATAACACCAAGAAAGACTGACATTGTTTTAGAGACCCCTGAGACATCGTTGGTACATGATAAATTGGATGAAGTTGTACAAATGGGAGACCAGTCAGGATGGCTTACGCTAAAGGAAAGGTGTTTCAGAATGTCATTAACATTTCGAAAGGTATTGAGAGGCGAGTGTAGTTGTAAATACCCAGAGAAATGCGACTCACAAAGCTATCAAACACGACAGAAAGGATCGAACATTAGTGACAAAGAGGGCGTTTTTGTGCCAAAGACTGATGCAGAGGCACGTATGCTAGAAGCCTCCCATGTTCATGATGTTTATGACGAGATAGCGGACCATTTTAGTGATACAAGACATTCACCATGGCCGAAAATTGCGAATTTCCTTAAAGAGCTACGACCATATTCTATGGTTGCTGACGTTGGTTGTGGTAATGGAAAATATCTTGGTGTAAATAAAGATCTGTTGACTTTTGGGTCTGACAGAAGCATTAACCTGATTAAGATTTGTCGCGAAAGAGGGCATTCTGCTATTGTCAGTGACATCCTGTGTTTGCCATATCGGTAAGTCACTTTTGTTGGTTAGTTTTTTCGTTATGTGGTAGGATACAGTAAACAAACGATAGAAATACAGGAACAGCAGCTCATTCTTCTTGTCAAAGATGGTCTTGTTCCACCGAGAAATAAAATGCTAAATGGGAGGTTAATCAAGGGGTTTTAAGATTATTATAGCTCTATTATTTTACCTTGATCAAACTGTTTCAAACAATTTGAACAATTTTTATTAAAAGTTTTGGTTTCGAGATTGCATGACCTTATAATTGTTTTGTTACTTGTGTTATTTAAAGTTTCATCGCTTTTAGAACCTTTCCTTTTGGCTTCTTGTGTTGAAGGTCTTTTATCAAAGTACATTATTTATTGCTCAATTCAGTTCCTTGCTTTTCCTTTCAGTTCAAGCACTTTTGATGTTGCAATTAGCATAGCAGTTATTCATCATCTCTCCACAAAGGAAAGGCGTGTTAATGCAGTGAAAGAGATTGTGCGTATAGTCAAACCAGGTGGGCTTGTGTTGATATCAGTATGGGCTCAAGAGCAAGATAAAGATCCGACTTGTGGAGGACCACATCACATAGAAAAAACGACTGAGGATCCTAATACTGCAAGTTATGGCAATGGTAAGACTTACAGTAGTGCAAACGTATCTGGAGTAGTCAACAAGGAGATAGACGATGGTAAAGAAGAGATATTGGAAGTTGGTTTGTGCGGTGACAAAGAGGCAAGGCCTTCTATGTCAAGTACCCAGAAAGATGAGCGAGAAAAAATTGAAATTAACGAGAAACGAAATGTCTTTCAGCAGCAAGATTTGCTTGTTCCGTGGCATTTTAGAGGAAAGCAAAACGGGGCTAAGACTGAAAACGTTTCTTCCAACCCTGATGTTAAACAAACTTCTAAAAATGAACATGTTTACCATAGGTTTTACCATGTATTTGTTGAAGGCGAACTTGAAGAGCTTTGTGAATCAGCGGGTGGGGTTGAAATTGTTAAAACGTATCATGATAGAGGAAATTGGTGTGTTATTCTCAAGAGGAAATAGCATTTGTATTCTTATCCAATGATACTTTAACAGGGTTGTATTCACATTGGATAAATTTATAGAGTATTCATATTGTTTGAATAATTATTTTCTAATTTGTTTTAATCACAATTCCATTCTCTCTCTATGTTTTCATTTATTCGATAAAATGATTTCATCAACTCTTATTTCATTTTACGTTTTAAATAAAATGCTTTTTCAACATTGGGATACCTCCTCAGCAAGTTGACTCGCATTTCAAAATCTAGCACTATCGGTGGCAAGACCAGCTTGAAGTTTAGCAAAATACAAATCAATTTGATCTTATTCAGGAGGTTTATCTAGTCAGTTCCAAAAGAAGATTCTTGATTTATCTACGTGGACACATTTAAAAAATCTAGAGAAGATTTTGCAGACCATACAATAGAAGTTTCCAAAACTTTTAAAAAGTTTCCAAGACCTGTATATTATTTTCTTTACACATGATAACATTGTGAAATCTCCTGTGCATAGAGGAAGTCAAATTTGTAAAATGCTTTGCAGTAACAGAATGACTTCTGAAAGCTGTTATGCGGTTTGGAGTGAAACAATTAACATTGTTGTTTGGAACAGAGGAGAAATGTTTGACAGCAAAAATGAAAAGTAAATTTCTGGTTTCGTTTAGGATTGGAGTTTTACTGATTTGATAGCTTTGCAAAAATTGATTGCTACATAAAAAATTCAACATTTTGTCAGTTAGCCATATATTTGTTTGATGTTTGATGTTTGATGAAAAGGTCAAAATTAGGCAAAGTTGAAATTTATGACTGACCAAGACCTAGTAGACCTAATTCTTTACAACTTAGAATTTTACGGAAATAATGAAATTTAAATAGTTACACTGTATCTTTTTTGTATTCAACAGTGGTAAATTGATGAAATAAAAAATCTTGAATTTTTTAATTTGGATGATATGCATACAATGTTACATTAGGACAAGTTGTTATTTGTTATGTAGCGAGTTGAAATATCAAATGGAGTAGTAAGTTAACCGCCTCTGTGCCACCCAATGCCATTGAAACATTTAAAAGATAACAAACAACTCAATATATGTGCATAAACCCTCAAAATGAAAGAAGAGAGACAAATTATGATGGGAACTGTTGAGAATATATTTTTACTGCACATCATAAAACATAGGGCGTCACAATTTTCGTAATTCATTTTCATGTCCCAAATTGCTTCAGCTTCAAAGCTGGTGGCAAGCTATTCAAAACAGCATCCAGTGGTTGTTCTACAACTACCAGTGCATTTAACTTTGTAATATCAAGATACAAAATTGTTGAATATCTAGTTGATGCAGAGACACATGTTCCTGAAAGATCCTCATATCTTCTCTTCATCCCTATCTTTGCAAAATGTGGAACTTTGCCTCCAATCTTTATCTTTACAAATCCTTGATCACTTTGAACAAAGATGATACTTGAATCTTTCGTATCAAAAACGATGTTGATAAACCTTCCAGATACTTTTGGCAAGTTATACAAAATGCCTGCTCCACTAAGCCTGATACACCAATGATCAAATTTTTCTGCACAAAAATCATACCGATGCAGATCTTTTTTGGTGCACACAAAAGTTAAGAAAGTGGTGCCTGGTTGAAATTTTATTGCCATTGGACAGCATACTAGCTTTGGGACTTTCGAAATAAGCCTACACTCTTTTGTAGAGTAAATGCAAATTTCCTTGCTTTCATCAACACATGCAATGTGACTTCCGGATGAATCAATCTCTAATAATCTCCATGGCAAAGTAATTTCATGGTCAATATCAACAAAGTTAACAGGCATATCATCGCTGTCTAGTGCCATGATTCCAATTCTTGTCGATGAGGCAAAAACAAGTTTTGAAGCATCTGATGTTAATTTCAGCTTTTGTGTTTCTTTAAGATATTTTTGTGGTATTTTGACTTTCTTCACACTTATTTGTGGAATTCCATCAACTGTGCTTTCACTGATACTGAATACTGATACCATATGCCTGTCTGCATAAGCAACCATGCTTCCATTAGATGATAGGTCTGCACAAACTATATAATCATCCCTGCATGATGTCAGCTCAAGAAGCTTGTGAGGAATTGAAGATGACCCATTTGTAGTGCCTGATAAACATGGTAATTTCCAAAGATGAATTATATTCTTATCATAAAACAGCAGAATATTAGCATCCTTTGCAAAACTAAATGGCGGACTCCTTGGAAACATTTCTAGGTAGTTATACCGAACCTCTTTTTTGGTGATATTGAACTTTGTAATTCTTGGATCAACTCCTGCAGCAATAAGTATTGGAATGTCCTCTCCAATCAAACACAATGAACGGATGTCATGATTGACAGATCGATTCAGTTTCTTTGTCAAACTCCATTCTTGACGGCTTCTACTTTGTTCTGTGATGTATTTGAACTCCACAACTCTACTATCGATACCACAGGAGTACACTGCATCTTCACTAGGTGTCACACAAAGGGTCAGCACATCAGCTTCGTGGGCCTGGAAACTTTTTAACAGTGTACAAGTTTCAAGATCCCAAAACTGTGTCTGACCTATAGAGTTTCCGGTTATGATTGTCATATCTTTTGTCAGAGCCATTGACCAGATCTTTGTGTTTCTCTGACGCTGGTTGTCTGTTGATATTCGTGACGTAATGCGCTTTGTGCGTACGTCGTAAACACGAATCGTGCTGTCCGTACTGCCTGTGACAATGACATTGCCACAGTGGCTCCATGCCAAGGAAAGGACTCTAAACTCTTGTTTATCAAGCGAAGTCTCTAAAAAGAGCCCATCATTCTTGATGTCAAACAATCGGACCGATCCATCCTCACATCCTGCGGCAAGTTGAGTTTTGTCGGGACTACGAGCCAAGCACCAAACAGGCCCTCCACAGGCATCAACAACAGTCTTATCCGTTAGACGTCCTAAATCCCATTCAGTGACAGTTCCCTCAAGCCCTGATGTAAAAAATCTGCCATTGCACCATGTAGCACTGTCTATTGAACGCCCAATTTTACTTGGGATAACAAAATCAACACTCCAAAACTTAGAAGACCCACATCCACTATTCCATATTTCAATAGTACCATCTTCCCTACAAACCGCAAATCTTCCTGAAAGTGAATCCTCTACGGCTATGCAGTTTACTGCCTGTGGATCAGTCTCAACAAAATTTATACGGTGGACTTTATATTCAGTCATGCTTGATTTTTTTTCCAGAAGAAAAGATGGCGAACCACCTCGTGCTTGGTAGGTCTCCTGGCTGGCCTCGTTGTTGATAATTATTACGAGGCTTTTATGAAAGGGTTGCTCTATTTTTGAACAGTTGGTCTTTGTTGAAACAAAAGACATTCAAGGTTTTAAACATGGGGAAGAAGCACAAAAAGCACAAAAGTAAAAAGCACTTTGAAGAAGACCCCGTCGAAGAAGAAGGTGAGTTTGAATTATTTCGCCTGAAATGCCGGTTCCCCATCATGACAATCCAAGATTTTTGCGAGGTTCCCTAACGGGGCGCCCTTGCCTCTCAAAACTCGAACACAAATCGATAAAAAACCTAACCATTCAACTTTTGGTTTTAGCCACTTTCTTTTTCGTTTTCTATCAAAGGGAAAACTTTTTTCAAACTGATCCTGTTTCTTTTCCTTGATATAATCAATTTATTTGGTAATTATTTGACAGACTTTCATTAAAATGATAAATTAAACAGGTCCACACGTAAATAACCTAGTTGAATGCATCAGACAGTTAAATTTCGTAAAATTACAATCTTAACAACAAAGCCAGCTTAAGAACAGGTATACATTGACCAACATACAAGATCCGAAACCCGGACTGGAAAATATGCCAAGAGTGGCCATGGATGCAGATATTGGAAAACGCAGCTTGACAATAGAAAAGATAACCAGTACAGTGATAAGGAGAGACAATTTTATTTTCTATTTCAGCATATTTAATCCAATTGAATTGAACAACTAATCCACAATAAAATTTACAAATTCAGCGAGAAATTTCAGTTACAGTGATAGAATCAGTTTGACATTATCAAAAGTGAGACACTCCAGTTACAAATCTAGGTGTAACAAACTCAGTTTGACATAATCAGTAGACAGAAATCATGTAATACGTTTTGAGTCAAGCTAGAGTCAGCTTGAGGAAAGTAATAAAAAGAGCTATAAGGCTCTAAATGAGCAAGTCAAAGGAATTGTTTGTTTTTGAAATGATGGAAAAATTTTCAAAAGTGGCAATGTATCCAGTTCTACTAATACACTCCCCTCACGAAAGTACCTGGACAGTTTTGAATTTAGTTGTGAATCTGTTGTTAGACAAATTTCAAAGTCAGTTTTCATGAAGATGTTTTTATCAATTTCCTCAAATTTTTTCTTGAAGTTTCTTTGGCCTTTAATCTATTTATTCTTCCAAAGAAACTAATCTTATTGATATGTAAGCAAACTCTGTGAGGGTTTTTTCTCAAGATGGTAGCGACCGTAACAAAAGAATTGACTTCTGAGCAGTGTCTAGAAATAATGTTTTATCACAATGATGGGAAAAAGCTATTATTAATTTGCTAGTACCATTGGATGGACAAGGACTGCCGCTTTCATGATATGCCAAAAAAATTGAAAAACAAGAAGTCTACAAAAATTTTCACGGTCAAAAAGAGTAAGAGCTCTCGTGACACCAACGTCTGAGCGTGCCGCCCTAACCAAATTTGCATCATTACGCAAAATTGCATTAAATGTTCATAAATAATTAAGCTTTTAAAAGCTGTTGATAAATATTGCAAGTAAAATGATAAAGAATTGTTAATTTTCCCCATGTACCGACCGGTAAAATGTTACCAAATGTCATCCATGTTTTATAATCGATTGGTGGCATCTCCATGCAAATATTTCTCTCAACTGAGAGTAAACCCGTTGCATTTCTCTTTTTTTGAAAATATTTGTTTCTCTAGAACGAATTTGTAAAAAATTACATTGTTTCATTTGTCAATTTGAACTTGACTTCTTGCCACCTGACTTTGCTGTTCTCTGCTTATTTGACATCAGTTGATTTGCATAAGGCTTTTAGCGCAAAGGTTTCTCATGTTAACAAAAAATTATAACAGATAAAAAGCGCAGAAGTTTTGCAGCCTTTTGATGTTCTGGTTTATTTTGGAAGGTTTTCTCAAAAAATTATTATCACTAAGTTAAAAAGTGGTTATCGCCAGCCTAATATTTGTTTTTGTCTGAAAGCGCAATCGATCTTCGAACTGTCCGGGTACTTTCGTGAGGGAAGTGTATGTTCATGAATCAAAGAGGGGCTAGGAGAATTAACATTTTGTCTGTTGTGCAATTGATCACAGAAATTTGATGCACCTGACCTGGACTGTTTTTGTGCTTTTTACAAGCACAGTTTCTTTTTTGGGTAATTTAGGTCTGGATTGTCTGGTCTGAGCTGCTATCACTTATCTTTGCTTAGTTTTATTCTCTAGTGAATTTGACCAATTTATCCTTTAGTTGATAGTTGAACTTCATGAAGCTCATTCCATTTCAAATATATTCTGACAGACTTTGTATGGCACTTTCTACTTATACTGGAAGAAAATCTGACCAATTTCCCGAATGGCACTTTTGTTAAAGAGCCTTTGGCACATCTGAGATTTTGTTGAAAATGCTAGATTTCCTAGTCTGGTTTAGATCAACAACCTAAACCATCTTCACTCAATGGCAATCAGTTTTGGACAGTCATAGGTGAAAACAACATCTGTTAGCAGGCCTGGCCGTTTGTATTTTTATAGGTGAGCTGTGAATCGCTCCCCTCATTTGCTGAGGCGAGCTAAATCAGTAACACATAGAATGTACTTTAAAGACAATCAACAGATGACTTAATAAGCCCCTTTAGTATCTGTCGGTTGCCTTAATATAATAGCCTCAGTCAGGAGTATGATGTTTTACTTCTTTCAATTTGTATTTGCTTTAACCGTGACTTAGGCACTCCCTTTACTTGAAGTATTTAAAAGAACAGACTCTTTCAGTTTCATGTAAAGCTGGCACAACACAAAAACAACAATTCTTTTGCAAAACAATCTTTTTGTTGTGCAGAATTTGAAAATGGCTTTGAAAATTTTTTTTAAAACAAGCTGAAGTTATATGTCTAGCACTCTTCAGAGAATAAAACGTCAGAACAAAGATGAAAAACTTTACGCTAAAATACCCAGTTTTGGATCGAAAAAGGCCAATCAGAAAGCGCGAGCACATGACTGTTGAGGTTGCCCAATCAGTGCCACTTTCCTATTGAAAATGTTACCAACGGATTCCTAAGGTGAAAACGAACTCACTTATGTCTACACAAAAGCGGTTGGTCATGTTTATATAGTAGATAGATTCACAAACTGCTAGATGGAATGATGATCAGGCTTTGCCAATAATGCCAAACAAGTTGCCGTTATAGTTTTCACCCAATCTGGGTTTTTCAGTAAATGCCCCTGGATAGTGGAATTCCATATTTTGGTTGTCGTTTTTGATCTGCAAGACAGAGTACCTTGTTCTCTTTGAGGGATAGTTTTGTTTCTATTGCTGGAAGGGACCTGCTGTCTTATTATGTCCCCAATCTACAATTCCTGCCAATTTCTTTGACTTTCCTTCCAAAAATATTCCTGTTTTCTTAAGATTGAAAGGTTCTAATCGCTACAAATGTACCTTTCGGTTAACTATCTTTTTCCAAATAGATTGAAGTTTATGCTTATCATAACAAAAACTGTCCAACAAGCAAAAAGTTAATTGCAAAAAATGCAATGACGGGAGAAATCGCTGTTACAAAAATTAACCAATTAACCCTTGTGCGTTTTCATAATTCTCTGAATAGGAAATTTTAGACAAGCGATTCTTCCTTCATGTTCTGTTTAGGAGAGCAATTCATAGCTCGTCTCAGGTTGCGAGGGGAGCGTGGAGGCGAGCCCGAGCTATCGCTCGCCTAAAACGCCAAGCCTGCTGTTTGTAAAAATTATAAATGATGCACTGCCTACTAAAGGGCAACCTGAAAAACATATTTACATTATTTTTGCTTTGGGGCAAAGCAAATCTTTGCAACAAATCAGGGGTAAATAATCCTACCCTGACCCTGCTTAACCCTAAATATAATTCATATTTTATAAATGGATAAACTTGAAGAAATAAATGAGATTCTTATCCAAGCTTCTCTGCCAGCAGAGGGTTTATATTTCAAGTAGGCAGCAAAATATATGGAAATAGCTTGCAAGCCGGATGCAGGAACTCCAGTTTTTCCATTCACTAGGGGCTATCATGATTTTTAAACTGTTGCAGGTTAAAATATTGTGTCAAACTTTTTATTTATATCTAACATATTACAGAATCTTTAATAATTTATATGTCTATTTAAGAACTATTGATTGCTGAACACTCTGCATAAAAAAAAATTGCAAATTTTCTTTGCAAAATGTTTATCTCCAAAGCTATGCTCGGAAAGCTTTACAGCTGCGTTAGTTAACAGCAAACCGCCAGCAAATCTTAGTTGCTGGAAGTTTTATGGCTAAATTCATGCAACATTGCCCTTGACATTCCTTCTTAATTGTTTAGTCCTTGACATTAAAACAATTATTAAGAAAACATGTTAATTTGTAAAAGATGAGATATATTTTTATTAGTTGTAATTTAAGAATTTTGCTTCCAGAACAGAAAGGAAAGTGGCCTTTCTGTATTGATACATATGAAGATTTAGATAGAAGGATAAGATTTCTTTGTTTATCATTGTTTATCATCTGAACTGGTTTCAATGTGCCTGTCTGTCTTTAAATGCCCACTCTTCTTTCAGTTGTTAAAGAAGAAAGGCTGAGGCTAGTGCTAAAGGTTCAGAAGGAAGAAACGACTATTGATGAGTCGCCTGTGAGCTCTGATGAACATAGAAGAGAGAAACACAAGAAGAAGAAAAAGAAAGAAAAAAAGCACAAACATAAACATGATGAGGTAGCATAAAGTTAAAATATAATTGTTGAATTTCAAAATTTCTTCAGGGTCCACAACTCAGTGAGATATGTATAAGAGCAACACTTGTGAGTCTAGGAAGAAGTTTTCATTTTGTGAAAATTGCCTTTTTGTGACATAGTAGCAGTGACAGTGGTCATATTTTTGTGGTCCATTTCTAGAAATGGCACCAGCAACTTACAAATCACAGAAAATCAGCCTAATTTTCTAACTCAGTATTTATTTTACAAAGAAAGATCATGGAAAGCTAATGATGTTAATGTCTTTTGCAATGCTGAAGAAAGAGAATATGTAGACAGTGAAATTGATATAATAAAGATGTGGTGTAGTGTTGGTCACCAGGAATTTTAAGGGAATATGGCCTAACAGTACAAATTTATTTGACTAAGCAAGAAGACTCAAACAAATGTCAAACATGAATTGCTGACCAAGAATCTTTTCTCTTGGTCAAAAGAATCATACTCAACAAGTCGAATAAGCAGAGTATGAAGCTTTGGTTGAGCTAGAGTTGAACTCAGTGCTGTCGTTTTCAAAAGAAAACCAATGAAAATACATCAGTTATTGCGTGCCAAAGTGTATGGAAGTAAATCGATGTAATTCAGCCTTTTCATTGTTTGCATTTTCACAATTGATCAATTTTTCTGTTTAAACTGCATATTTGTGTTTATATTTCGCCCCTTTTTCAAGTTGGCTTGGGTGGGGCTGATTTGTGGTTCCCGTCAAGAATTCAAAAGCCCTGATAAGTCTGCATTGAACTATAAGCATAGCCAATCTGAGATTGCACTGTAAGACTGCACTCCATTTTAGAGAGATTTACCTATTTTTCGTGTGTTTTTACACAGCAGCAAATGTGTAAGCCTTTACCTTAAAAATAAGCAGAAAAGAGAAATAAGAGAAAAACCTGCTGGTCTTTGCGAATTTCCGTTGATGGAAGAAATGTGATCAAAGGTTGCATTAAACATTTAGTTGTTGTATAAAAAAGAAATTTCACTTTGGTGTTTCGTCTAAGTTGTAACAGCGAGTTTCATGCGTAATGCCATCGTCAAGCATTTCTACTCATCTCTAAACGGCATCGAGATTTATAGATTCACTGCACTTCTCTTCACTGCATTTTTTCCTTTACAGAATCGGTCGCTTTGACACCAACCCATTTAGCTTGTTTGCCTCTTTGGTATTGGTAAATTGTCAGAGCTATCGAAATCAAAGTTGTGTTTTATCAATGTTTGATTTATAAATTTTAATTATTATTTCTCAAATTCTGTTTGCAGGGTAAAAGAAGTAAGAAAAGAGAACGAGCAAGGGAAGATGAAGAAAGCGAGCCACCAATAAAGAAACTCCACATAAAAGTGCCAGAAATGCCAAGGTAACAGAAAACGTTTGATATATACGGAAAGTATCACAGGGACTAGAAGTTGTTTAGGTAGTCATTTTTCAGGCTGCATCTTAATTGATCTTGTGGACAAGAATTTATTTTCTTCCGCGTATCAACAATTATAGCATCAAAATTGAAAATTTTTGTTGCGTTTTACTAATATTAGAAACAATCGTAGCAGAAAGTAAGAAGGGGGTAGCAGATGTATTCGTGTCTATTCTTAGCAGGTGATAGTTTAAGAATACCCATTAAAGAAAAACGGTAGCTTAGGAAATCTTTGCTGATGTTATTTTTGACTTTTAACTGTAGTCTAAGTCAGGGACGTCGAAATCTTTAATGGTTTGAAAAGCATAGGTAGCAAGGGACAATATTTTGCCAGAAAAGAGGCAGTTTTCTGAGAGTTCTTAGGAGGACATTTCTTAAAAAGAGCCATTTTTCTGAAATTTGCGGAACGTACTCTCTGGTCTGGGAATTATGACATCCCTGGTCTTTGAATGGAATTTTTACTTATTTTCAGTATTCGCTTAATTCAATTTTGTTTTCTCTCAGAGAACCTTCTCCTCCCCCTGTTGACGCTAATGGCGAAAAACGGCTGACTCCTTTACAGCTTTGTTTGGAAAATCTACACCGGACCTTACAAAGGTAATAAATGTAAAAAATTAATTTATATTATCCTCGTTACATATTATGCCATGAGTGAGCAAGATGTGGTAATTTGTTATGAGTTTTGGCACAGAAAAAGAAATTAGCGGAAGGGGACCCTGTTCATACCATGGAGGTCCTTTTGATTTGACATTAGGGGGCGGCAAATTGCAAACATATAGAAATGACTATATTAGGAATAACATAGAGGTAATGCACAAACATGTACAAACCAAAACGGTCATGGAAGGGAGGGTCAAGAAGCAACATATCCGCATTTTCGAACTTAGTACGATCTGCAAATGTTTTGGTTTGGGGACCCTCTAGAATATTGCGGGGCCAAGGCCCCCTGCCTCCCTCTTGCTGATCCCTTGATTCATACGTATTCGATGCTTTTTTCAAGCTATTGTGCGAATGTATGGGAAGCTAACCAAGTTTATTATTGCTGAGGAATTTAGCTCAAGGCAAATTTTGTTGTGATAGAAGCAAAGATGCTTTTCCTCACAAATTGCAGCTAACATAAAATAATACATAAAAAGTTTTCAACTCTAATACGGCAGGGAAAATTTATTTTCTTATTTCGTTATTTTGTATTTCTGCAGGAAAGATATATATGGCATATTTGCGTTCCCTGTCACAGATGCAATTGCACCAAACTACTCACAGGTTGTCACAAATCCCATGGATTTCAGCACAATGCTATATAAAATTGAGAATCTACAATACACTTCATTGGAAGCTCTTAGGGTAAATTTCTTATATTTTGCTATCGCTGCTGTTACAGAAACTTGAATTAATTTTCTTTCTTTAATGATTTCTTTAATGTAGCTTGCGTATGATTGTCTCTGATAACTGGCACTTTAAACAGAGAGCCATATCAAGCAGTTTGCTGAATAGTTGAAGGGACAAGAAATAAATTCCATCAGTGGCTGCTTTTTTGTCGACTGAATTGAACGACATATGGTTCAGTCTTAACAAAAGCCGGTATATCCAAGCACAGTAAGTGCATGTCTTCATTCCAGTTGTGGTATAATGCTCAAGCTTCTCAGTTAGTTTAAATATCTGTTCATGGAGATTCTGGAACTGTGGATAAAAGTATTGAATAGTTACCTTTATTGTTAGAAAAATTGACTCCAGAAATCATTACAGTTACATGGCTGTAGTTTGTAGCTTGTCGGTGCAGTAGTTTTGAGGTAGGCCTATTGTATATAAAGTGAAAGGAATTTACTGTTGTTCTTGAACTTTTCTTTTTTCTTGACAAAATTTAAATACCAAACCATAGATCATTTCATGCAGATTCCGTCTCCAAAAAACTTTTGTTCAAAGATAAAAGTGAAATTTTTCGGAAGGCAAATTTTATCTGGAGGAAAGTTGAGGAAAAGCATTTGTTTTCTGTTTGGGGCTTTCAGCATACCGCATTGGTTTTAGCGACTTTTCAAGGAATCCATGCCAGTAAGCTTCCACGCGCCCAACACACAGTCTATGATAGGGCTTCCAAATGCAAAAAAGTTCTGCGCTACTTTCAAACGCTATTTATGATTTGTTCCAGGACGATTTTATTCTCATGTGCAAAAATGCAATGCTTTACAATGCTCCGGATACGATCTACTACAAATCGGCCGAGAAATTGCTGAATTTAGGCACCAGAGCCCTCAGTGAGGTATGTATACCTAATTTTTTTAAATTAACGAAAAAGTAGAAGATAGCATTTCACAGGCTCAAGTGCACTCTACGATAATTCTCTTCTGTAGGATAAATGACATTTTTAGGGGGTAGTCGTTAGTAAATAAGAACTCATATTGTTAACAAAATTCAGCGTTAAACAGTGTATTTCATAAAGTTAGTGTCGTGTAGGCTATTGTAAGTTTAAGCGATGGACTTTCTACAATTTTTGAACTCGTAGCATAATTTTTTTATACTCGAAACAAATTTGAGAGCGTCAAAAGCGCTTTAACAATGCAACTTTCTTTCTGAAGGCAGAATTGGCCACTTGCTTTGTAATTAATAAATTTGTCTCTGTCTACCATTAGGCTTTAGAAGTAAGTAATTGACTGCCAAATATTGTGTGATATGAACGCGTACACATTTCAGTTATAAAAGGATAACTTCATTAAGGATCTAACAAAGTTATGTAGTTGTCAAACCTGTTCTCAACCGACTGGCAAAAACAAAGTTTCATAAAAGGCATTGTGTCATGGTAAATGGCCCACCTCTATCTAGTTTCATGTGATATCAGCATCCATTGCTGAAACATACTTTTGACGAAAGCTGTTTTGTGAATCAGTACGAGGCGAGTTCATGTGATCAGTGTCAGGCCCACAAATAACACTGCAGCACGATCAGTGCTAGGCCCTTTTGTCATTGCCCAGTGCGTTTAGCCATTGTGTATGTGATATTTTTCAGGACAAACTAAGAAAAATGAAGAGGTCGATCGGAATTATAGTCGATGATATTGGTATTGACGATGTTGATGTTGATGTCGATATTTTGGACGATGAGGAGTTCAGTATTAGCATGAGGAAAATTGCAGAGAAAAGGTGTGCATATCTCAACTATTTTTGATTTTACTCGTATCATATGTGTTATAAAGAGATTTTATGAGGATATTGAGGAGTTGAAAGAGATTTTATAAAGAGATTTTATGAATTTTATTAAGTAAGGTGATTTTATGAATAGGAGAGATAGAGAGATGTTATAAAGAGATTTTGTGGTGAGATGGATGAGTTGAAAACTTCAGTAATTACTTTTTTCTAAGAGCCAGTTGAAGATTGCTTATTATTCACTTATATTTCATTATCTCTATCTTAACATTCCATTTTTATTGAAATTCCCTTTTGCGTGAATTGTTTATTTTTTGAAACCTTTTAAGGTATGCCATTCTAGATTTACAAATATGAAGAGCGTACCCCTTTTTATATGTGCAAAAAGGATCTTATCTTGGTTCCCTGATAAGGTTTCTCTGTCATTTGAACTCTGGTTATAGATGGGCTTCAAGGGTAATTTTTATCTTTTCATACAGGAACATTACTAGTTTAATGTTTAAGTGATTCATCTTAAGAGAGGCCGCAGCTTTTTTGATGGGGGCTGTTTAGGGTGGCTCTTTGTAGGACCAATTTTTTTTTCTGCTTACCTGTGTATTGTCATATCAGACATCAGACCAGGCCTTTTTTCCGCTTCTCCCCCGCATCCACTCATTCTTTGCCACCGCATCGGTCTACAATACGTTGTCCTCATTTTTCCTTGAGGCTCTGTTACCCTGGGTACTTACCTGTGTTTTATCTCTCTTTTAAAGGATGCCAGAGCATCAAAGAATAGCAGAACAGGTGTTAAATGCGTCGAGAAAAGCAGCTGAAGACTTGAACAAGAAATACAATAACAGCAAGGTATATTTTTTATTATTTTGTATTAAACTTAGTAATAAAGTAGATTAAAAAATTGAAAAATTAGATAAAATTTAAATAAAACTGAAAAGATTTAAAAACTAAAAACTAAGAAGTTAAAAAGAATTGAAAAATTAAAAAAAAATTTAATTTATGAATAATTCCATGGTGTTGTTAAATTTCTATTGCTAAAGATTTTTAGAGAAGGTCGGAAATTTGTCTCTAAGAAATGTGGAGGATTTGAAGTGCTGAACCATGGAGCTGTTGATTTGAAACTTTATTAGAAAATATCTTCGTTTCTTTTAAAATGGTAAATATAATGGAATATTTAATGACCTGCAAAGAGTTGAAACCTCACACCAGCACAATTGTTACAATTGAACGACCCCGTAGTAGAATAATTTTGACCATAAGCAAGGCTGATAACAAAATATCATGTTTGTTGCAGTTGTTCTTTTGTTCTCACTATAGACCGGGCTTCATTACCTTGATTCCCTATTAATTTTACTGCAATATGATTTTTTTTTCATTTCAAGCTAACTGTATTTGATACCTCTCTCCATCTCCCTCATGTTTTTAGATTGGATTTCTGCGCAAAAACCCGGAGGGAAATACCTCTTTAGCAATCCTTAATCCAGATTTGTCAGGTGATTATTTGGGCGAAAGTTTCTTTTGGTTTGTGTGATTGTTCTTTTAATTTCAAATGTATCGAAGAAGATCGGAATGATTACACGAGAATCGTTTAGAACTTCTGCTGGGAATTATGATAGTCCGCTCGAAGTCGTGACGTCACAAAAATTGGTCTAGAAGTCGTGACGTCAAAATGTGACGTTTAAAGGCGAGGATATTATTGCTAAGCCGATCTACCGTCATCTAGGGGCATGTTGTCGGCAAATTGTTGAAGGGAGTTCCGCGCGTTGTTTCTTTAGCCTTTTCAGTTTGCTCTGGTCCTGTTGATAACATTCAGGTGCTGAAAGGACCAAAACGGTGTCTTAAAGTTAGTATCAAAGATAAATCCACGCGTATATAGCTAGCACCGGCGCTGCTAACCGCTTAACCGTCTTTGGTGAAGTATCATTTAACAGACTAAGGTTTTTTTCTTTGTCATGGATATATTTTGAGATTGGGATTCATTATAGGCAATTTGAAAGCAACATCAAGTATGACATCTGAATAGATTTTTATTGCAAATGTCAACTTTATTTATGGATCCAGCCATAGAATATTTAGTTTAATTTTCAGCAATTTCTTTTAGGCCCAAATTCAGTCGATGTAAACCTTGGTAAACTCGCTGGAAAACTCACATCTGGTGGATCGATGTTGAGTTCCGTGAAAGATGACAAAAGGAACAAGGTTATCCCAGGTACAATGGACTTCATTCTGTTGAAGCGACGGTGTTCACAAACTTTCAATATAATTAAGCCTTTATTTATTTTCTTATAGTATTACAAACAATTATGCTGTCTCAGTTATGTCAAGGTTTTTCTATGTGACTCAAAGCTTTAAGTTTCAAACGTCATGTGGTCTTAGTTTTGGCAGATTTCACGATTATCAGGATATGCCATTATTCACCAGCATTTTACCTGCGTTAAATTTATGATTGTAATCAACGAGATAATGAACTTTTAATCAAGGATATGGGTGTAAGCTTGTTTTTGAGGCTGTTTGGTCCAATAACCATTGATCTAACTGTGATAGAAAGTGCCAAAATTTAGATGTTGCTAGATTTGTCGTCCTATTTGTGCGTTTTGTAAAACTCACACACCCTCTCCCTAACCCACACTCTCTTGTTATCTGTATTTAAACCAGTTTAGTAAATTTTGCAATTTGTAAACTTGGCTATTTGTCAACAATTTGTAGCCTTGTAGACACTGAAATTATAGTCCTCTGTCATACATAATCAACCTAACGTATTGCAAATTCAATTTTTCATTTGAATGCAGGATATGGAAAGCCAACCCGTTATATATCTAAAAAGGCCATTAGCAGCCGTTTTTATCAAGCTATTTTTCGTTGCAGTTGCGTATCTTTCTTATGGCCCGTATGGCTCTTTTGGTCCTACATATGACTCGTCATTAGCAAACATCACCAAAGAAGAGTCAGACGTGCTGACGGATACGTATGGAAGTGAGCTTGGCGTACATTATGCAAAAAGGTACTTGTTTTATTTTTCTGTGAAAAAATTGATTTTTTGCATCTTTTATTGTTTGATTAAAATAATTTTATTCGGTAGAGTAATTTAGATATTTTTTAAAGCTTAACCATCAATGATCACAGTATCTCACCTTTCTCCTCCCCTGTTTGCAAAATATACGCGTTGATCATTCCTTAGGCCATAATTCTCAAACTGATTTATTGTGACCTCGATTAGAGAAAGCGCATTCAGAACAACCAAGATAAAATAAGAGAAATATTTTATACTAGTTCCTTATTTTATCTTGGAAAAAGAGAATATCTTAGAAAGTCAATTTACAATAGCCACATTGGTAAAACAATACGCTACGTAAACAATAATGAGATGTTTTTAGTTTGACAAACACGTATCAATAATTTAGCAGTAAGTTCAGGAAAATAAGAATCAATTTTCTTACAATATGTGTTGAAACGTTTAGCGTTGTTTGCAGTATGAATTCCTGTAAACCGTATGTAGTCCTTTTAGGATGTAATCCTGTTTGTATCGTGTTATTTATGAAATTTCTCACAATATTTTTCTATTTATTTGATTCTTTGGTATTAACCTGTCTATTTATCAGTTTGCAGTCATTCGTAAAAGGTTCTGGTGTGTTTGCTCAAAATTTGGTCGACCGTTTTCTGGATGCATTAACCGAGGGAAGCCACTCAAAATGGCTGCGACGCCAAGAACAGGTTAGCTTGTCACGCCATATTAAACGTTCTGTGTTCATTTCAAACTATGTTTAATTGAACTGTTTTTATTTCAACAAATAGCCAATTTTCCTTAACTTGGCCTTGGGTTGTTGTTATTAGTTTTTCATATGTTTATTTGCGTTTTTTATGCTTTTTTTACTCAGGCATGATACTAAAATCTAGAAAAGGTGGTTCTTAAGTCGTTTGTTTTACTACATAAAGAGCTCCTTCTTAAATTCTACTAAATCACATTCTTTTTTCCTAATTATTGGTGATTGCAATATTGTTGTTTATATATAGTATTTGCATTATGTAAAACTGTTCTGTTGTCTGATGATCGCATTAAGCGTGAAACTCATATGGAGTAGCAGCTTAGAACCGCCCTGTTATATACAACAAAAGCGTGTACAGCTCTGCCTACACGGCATCGAACACTTTATGACAGACTGGTAAACAGTAATTTTCAATAAAATTGATTTATTATAGTAGCAGTGGCAAAATTGAATTGAATTTAGTTGAAATTAAATTGAATTGGATCACATGGTAATATTCCTGCATCGGAACGATCTCGGTGAATCGCCGCTACCTTTCCTACTGGCAGACAGTTTCTTTCTTGTTGCTTTTTTTTATTTTTTGTAATTTCTTTGTTTCTTTTTTTTTCTTTGTTATTTCCGTAATCAAAGCCTGTTTCAACAATAAAGCTCGGTGAATATAAACATGCAAACCCTCCTGGGTGTCTCGCCTGGTATATATTTACCCTCCCTGGGTGGCTTGCTTAGCATTATTTTGTGAATGGCCACAGGGTTGCTATGAAGATTCAACTCCCTGTAGGGATGAAAAATGGTAATAGCATAACCTGAAAATGTTTTATAATTTTAGTCAATTACAATATCCAGTGTTGTTTGCTTTGATTTAAAACAACCAATTAGAGATGTAGAAGCATAGCCTATATTATGTAATGAAATATAGGCACGTTTTGTAACCTTGTTCTTGTTTTTGCAGAAAGAAAAACAAAAAATTCAGGAAAGTCTTGCAAAGCAGCTCGCTGAAAATCGGAAGCCAAATCAGCAAGAGGTCGTTGGAAATAATGAGAGCAAGGTTTTTAGTTTATAATCGAGCTAAACCTGTTTGAAACACTAAAATGCATTCATTCAAGTTATATCATTTTTAATTTTCCCGAGTATCTTTCTGCCAATGACTTACTTATTTTGATTTCTTGAATGTTGTGAATATAAACTGTACGGGCACCATAATCGGCGAAAAAATTTTACCAAGAAAGCAAAATGTAAAATGAAGACAGTGAAACTCCAATTGAAGCATTGATTTATGCTGAATGTGGGTCGCAGTACTCTAGTACCATGCCTAGACTTTTCCAACTCAATTACAACTCTTTTATGTTGTAACCAAAAATTGAGTGAAAATTTATTTATTTTAAAAGTTATTAATACGTTGCCAGTTGATCAAAGAGCCTAATAAAACTTTACCAAAGTGGCTTCTTTGTTTTGTTTCTTTCTCTCCTTTTTATTTAATTGACCCTTTATTTATTTTAACTTTTTGTCATTAAATTTTCATTTTATCACGTATTTTGATATACTGCCTTTCTCCAAACAAATGGTCAATTTCAAGATATTTTGTTTTTTTCTAGAATACACCAGATGCCTTGAGTGACAAAGAAACTGGTATTTAAAATTTCTTCCTTTTTTCTAAATTAATGATTTTTTTTCTTGATGTTCCAGATACCATACAGTAAGGATAATAGAATTGTAACGTTTGTATAATTATATATATATATGTTATTTTAATATATATATATATATATATTAATGAACTATAAATATGATAGACAATCATTGCAATATACATTATAGGGGATTTTGAAATTATTTTATTTTCAAATATATGAGTGGTATGTTTATATGAACTTAATTTCAATAGTTAGGGTGTCATTCAGTTTGAAATTTCACTCTTTCCCCAATGTTATCAATCACATGACATTCCGTTGAGTGTCTTCTGTACCATTTATGTCATTCAGCAGCATCTATTTTTTGTCATGATTAACGTTGTGTCCTTCACGAACGACAACCAGCTATACTTAAATATTTCTCCCAAACAGACGCCAGCAAAATTGACATAGCTTCCTTGATGACTTTGAGTAAGGATGGCATTGATGTTTCATTCCTAAAGAATATCGGTAAGTTGTCACGAGATACCAGTTTTATAGATTCATAAATTCTCACAAAACTTTCTTTGTGTCGATATATCTAGGAACCCAAATTGCCAACTTCAATACATTCTGTAAATCCTCGCAAAGATTACCCTACTTTGTTCTAGAGTCAGGCTGTTCATAAGCCTTGTTTATACAGAGCCCATGACATTCATACGGGAATCGTAGGCTCAAAACTACTTGCATAAGGTTCCTTTCTTAAGCATGTACTCTGAACTGGATCAGTGATGACTGGCAATTCTCGTATCTTGTGATAGGCGATTAAGGGCACAATTCCCTTTGAATAGAAACTATATGATTTCTTGGGCTGAAAAAGGTTCTTACACACAAGATACTCAAGGAAAGAAAGGCAACCTGCTAGTTCTTATGTCCTTCGGCTCTTTTACGGGGGAATACCTGTTGACTACTCCTGCATAGGCCTTTGTTTTGAGTATGTCGCTGTCCAAATTATACAGGAATAGGATAAATGAATTCCCCGGATCTTGCAACTTACGCATATCTGTTCGTATATTATACGGTAATAAGGTAATTCGTATATCATTGAGGGAATTTGTAGGCATCGCTGCAAATAATTTGTGTGGATCATTAACCCTTGTCAATTCATCAATGCCAAAATAGCAACGCCTCCTGATGTAACGCTGTTTTGTATTTGTTTGGGCGTGTTTTGAGCAATCATAGACACACAAGAAGTTGATGCCCTAAAAAGTAGGGCTGTCCAAACCTTCGGATATTCCTATTCGGTTATTCGGTTCTAAATTTAACGAATATTCGGTTATGCGGCGAATATGGGTGTGGCAAAATGGGTGTGTCAGGGTGGGGGTCAAAACTACAATCTGAAAATTTCTTGTAATTTGATGAAAATAACCAACAGCTAATCAGTCATAACCATTCGATAAGTCAGAACCATTAACCCTATTGATATTTCGTGTGTTTTAACGAACTTCAAAGGGTGAACTACATAACGAAAACGATTTTTCGATCAGTCATTGCTATTCGAACGCAAACGCTCCTCAAACGAATTTTCTGTTGTTATTGACAGTTTGCCGCTCACGTCTATTTATTTTTATTGCCTATGGTGACACTTATTCATACGTAATAAAATGAAAAAATGTCTTTCATTCATTCATTCATTCATGTTTTAGTTGCTCCTCCAGAAAAGAGTGAAACATTAGTTGAAAGGTGAGTTATTTGCAGTTTTCAAGGCAAAGAATAACAAGGCAAGGCGGAAGGAATTTTTAGGCCATTTGGCTTTGCAAATTAAATTTTTTATTTTAGGTTTATAAGGTGTAACGGTAGCGATGTTTCACAGAATCCACCCTGTGTCATTTGTATATTAAGAACTTTAAATTAAGAACAAAACTTAATGAGTATCAGATTAGGCGATCTTTTCGCTTATTTATCGCTGAATATCGTTAGCAGAAATCGTACCGGAGGGAGGGAGCTTCAAGTCTCTCTTATGGCTTCGGTCGAAATTTGCGTTTAGAATTTGGGCGCTAGCTTATTCAGGATGATGTAAAATTTAACGGTATATATTCAGATAATGCCCAAGAAAATAGTACTTACACTTTTAAGAACATTGACGACGAAAGCAGACTCATTTTGCAGCTTAAAATTGTTTATCATTCGATTGCAATACAATATTTGGTGCCCAAGATAAAACATAAGCTGACTCTTAACAAATGCACAGTTTAATCTCAGGTTTTTATTATAAACACAAGTCAACTTTTTTTAAGGCATTATCTGTTTAAGCACCTAAAGCTCGATTTCTAAAAGGTCGCGTCCTTATGGAAACCTTTTGAAGTCGAAAATCCATAAGCATTTTCACCACCCGCATAACTACGTCACAGGACTTCAAGCGGTACATGTAAGAACCTAGCTTTTGTGGGACCTTGAAAATGAAAGACACTCAAGTAGAATATTTGGCGCTGTCCCCAAAACCGTAGGGTTTTTAAAGATTCTGAAGCATTTGGTCGGTTCATTTGGCCCGAGACATCTTTGAAATCTATTGCAACTGTTTTATTTTGTACATCGTTGTCTGATCGAACCGAATAAGAGTCGAAGGAGTTTTGTTATATTTTGTGTTTGCCCCTTTAAACCAGGTACCCTTAATGAATTTTGTATGTGCATGTTCTAATCCAGGTTCTCGTTGACTGCGTGTGGGTTAGACTTGTTTATTTACCAACAGGAAAAACCTAAAATGGTGTATCTCAGTTTTATCCTATTTATGAAATTTGGGAGTTTATGCCTTGATTGAAAATACTAATTAGAATGGAATTGTTAAAAGTGTGTTGATATTACGATTGGGCCTTTTTTGGCGACAGATCCAAAGTGGACATGTCATAATTTACTTGTTTTCAAGACAAGCCACATTACAATCTGTCTATGTTTGTATCATTCTCGAAAGTCCAAAGGTTGCCTGTCAAGGATCTTTACTGTTCTCTGCATTGTGCTTTCTTTGCCGATACCGTAAATCCTCGAATTGCCCCCCCCCCCTCTCGAAAAAGCCCCCCCCCTCGAATAAGCCCCCATCCTAGAACTACTAATTGTCAATAAGCCTCCCCCCTCGAATAAGCCCCCACTGCTACCTTAAATTCTCAGCTTGGACCCCTCCATTTGATGATTTTTGCCATCTGAGGTTGCCTATGGCGTTTTATTGAATTACCACAACAAATTCATACTTTTGGTAGTAATTAATTCAATGCTCATAAAGAAATTTCTACTAAAATAAACGAGGTATTTTAATAATGTCTTCTTAATGTCTTAATAATTTTATAAGACCCCCCCCCCCCCCCCCCGTATAAGCCCCTCCTCGAATAAGCCCCCATCCAAAAATATAAAAAATAAATAAGCCCCTTCGAGGCTAATTCGAGGATTTACGTAAGCCCATGCTTCATAACCGTATGTTAGCAATGAAATTATATATGTCTTCGATAGCCTTTTCTTTGTTTTCGTCGACTGCATAAAACATTTGACTATTGATTCATATACACTACAACAACTTTATAGCTAATTGTCTTTCTTTCGTGAAATACAGTATACTCTCGTTAAGTGGGACACTCAAGGGACAGGGCAAAAGTGTCCTAATTAGCAGGCGTTCTACTTATCCGAATGCTTGAATAGGGTAAGCATGTTCAAGGGACCGGGAAAGTCTGTACTACATAGCAGACGTCTAACTTATCCGGGGTCCACTTAACGAGAGTATATTGTAGCTCAAACACCATCAATCTGAAAATTGTAAATGTTTCTTCTAGGACTCACTTACAAACAAAGCTAGACGAAAATGCAAAATTTCTTCACAATTTGAAAAGTGCTCAAGACAACCGTCTGTTGAAACAAGCGAACGACGCGAAAGTCCCGTCAGAACAAGAACTGAATATTGGTGAGTTTTAGTGACACCTTGGACCAATTTCGATTAATTTCAGCTCGCTCTTATCCTTTCATATTATTTATTGTTCATTATTTCAGAGCATTTCGTTTTATTTTGTTTTTTGGCATTTAATTTTAGTAGTTTGTGGGGTATAATCGAGCACGTAGGGACCATTTTTTTCGCTGGACCTGGTGATTGTCACGTCGCTCGTGTGCGATAGTGAAGGTTCGAAAACATTTATTGTTGGTGGTAGATTTCAAATATCAAACATGTGGGATATCTCTTTCTGAGATGGCTGAGAACGAACGACAAATATCGCACTATGTGCGGTTATAAGAGACAGAAATATTTGCAATCAAATGCCAATAGCCAATCATAGTCATCTTGTTTAACACGTGATATATATGATGAAAATTATGGTGATTTAAAATACTTGATCAAGGGATGTATGATGTTTTTTGAGGCGATTAAGCCGATAGGATCATGAAATTATTAATGATACCACACCCAGGTGCCTAGTGCAAAATCCCGTTTTTCATAAAGATTCTTCAAACCTGTGAAGAGCCAGAATTTGTTTAGACAATTGTGTTTCTTTTTAATGAGTTTGGTTTTCATTTGTGTTTTTTCTCCCCGACTTTCCATGAAGACTACGGTGCACTGGCTGTTTCCAGAGGCTACATGAAAGCCCAACAAATTGTTACGTGGCAGTGTCGCTTAATTGATTCGTCTTTTTTTGTTTTGGTTCTTGTTACTAAATTAAGTACAGCAAAAACCAAAATTGAATAAATTTATTTGGCTGAAGAGGCCTTCGACGACGAAAGCCGCTAATGTGGAAGCAAAGTTTAGCTCGTTTGTGAGAAGGAAGAACTGCAGGATAGGCTGTTCGCCGGATTCTGTGAATCTTGCAATGAGTATAATATAAATACGAGGATAGAATTAAGAAACAAAGCAAAACGGCGACGAGAATCCAATGTTATGAGATAAAGTTTAGCTCCGCGTATCTCTTTCGTTTGTATGATCAAATCACGGGTCTCGTCTTCATTCGACTCTTGTCCAGATCCATTTTGTATTTTGACGTGAAATTGTAATTTTCCCTGATTTACTTCGTGAACAATATTGCCAAATAGATTTTTTCAGTGCTATTGTTTTCATTTCAGCGGAAGCTTTGACTGGCAATATAAGAGAAATCTTAGAAAAGGTGATTATATTTAATATTCAGTATAGCAATGTTTAATGTCAGGAAAATGTTAATCTGAATGATTATGAAAATTTTCTGGAATAGCAACTGCCGGTACTTCTTACTTTTCTGTAAAAAGTGCAGCTGCTTTTTATTTATGAAACTCCGACAGTGATATGATTATAACTGAAAACGAAAGGAGTTGAACAATAATTTGGTATTTATAATAGTGATCACTGCAATATAAAACCACTCATTATTTGTCTGAAAGTCGATAATCACAGGAAACATTTGTGTTATTTCTTAAAGTCTTACTGTCGCTATAAATTGCCTGATAGCCTCGTTTTGATCATTTGTTGCAAGAAACCTTCATGGGCGGTCACATTAGAAGCGCTTTTTCGTTTGATACAAATTACCGACAGTGTAAAAAACCCATTCAAGAAGAAAAATTGCAATTTTGATAGAAGGGAAACTGTTTCGCGTAATCTGGAACATGCCTGAACACATTGCAACTGATGGATTTGACCAATTAAACAGAAGTAAGCCCGGACGAATATTTAGGCCCAACAAGTATGTCATAAAACCTACCTATCAGAATCAGACACAACTGCTGTTGTTGTGAATAACATTAACATACTCTATTGCTGGCATTCCTTCGACAGACCTACTTTCGACATTCGCTTTATCTTCGGGCGGTCTATCATGATCATTGGCTTGTTGGATAGCTTTGTCAGGAATTTCTTCGAAAATATCAAACAAACGTTGTAAATATTCTCCATTTCTGCTTTGATGGCATCGCGCTCGACAATTAAAATATTGCTCTTTCGTTTCCTTTGAACAAGCAACGTAAGTCTTGCCGAATACGATTTCTTATTTCTAGAATCGAACTGTTCAGAGATCAAAGAACACCGCGCAATTCGAATACGCTCTTGCGCTTGATTTGTCAAGTGAATTATTGGCAGCCAATAATTCAGTGTGGGCGTTATATAGCGACAGTAAGACTTTAACCTTGTAATGCCTCGTGCATTTAGGTATCCTGTTTTAAAACTGAGAGTCCTAATAAATAAATTCAGTATCAATTCGAGGCCGGCTTCTGTTGGAGGGCAGCTTCTATTCGCGGATGCATTTTATTTGTTGTTTTTTCAACAATCCTGCGGCCTCTTTTTGAGGGCGTTTTTTGTTGTAGCGTGGCTGCAATTCGAGAAACGAAACGATTACGAGAACAGTATTCGAGATAATTTTGTTGTTTGCGTCATAATGCAGCACGAGATGATAGGCAATTTAACAAATGCATTGTATTGTAATTAAGGTGGTGATTCCTTAAGGTTATATTTCATTTTCAGCTTAAGCCATGGAACGTCAATAATATGGCACATTTATTGGTGTTATAGTTGATTTTTACTTTCTTATTTATTTTGCATATTTTGCTATGCAGGTTCGCCCTGGTGATGTTGCTGCGCAGGAGAGTGTCAGAGCAGCTCTTGGGATAGGAACAACAGCAGGTAAGGGTTAATATAAAGTCTCACTTAACTCTTTTAAAAGTAATGCTAAAGTCATCTTTAAGGTCATATAAAGGTCATCTTTAAGGTCATATAAAGGTCACCTGTAAGGTCATATAAAGGTCATACTTAAGGTCATATGAAGGTCATCTTTAAGGTCATATAATGGTCATCTTTAAGGTCATATAAAGGTCATCTTTAAGGTCATATGAAGGTCATCTTTAGGGTCATATGAAGGTCACCTGTGAAATCATCTTTAAGGTCATATAAAGGTCATCTGTAAGGTCATACAAAGGTCATACTTAAGGTCATATAAAGGTCATACTTAAGGTCATATTTAAGGTCATATACAAATGATCTTACAAAATATAAAGGTTACTCTAATTAATATAAGTAAAAACAGTTAAAGCAAAGTCATTGCCACTATCTAGTTTGGCCTAATTCTCCCGTAAATATAAAAACTTGGATGAAGTAGATAAATTCATGACATTTGCAAATCAACAATCTCTTTTCTCTAAACAGGAAAAGACACAAATGCTAACGCAGAAGCTATTTCCTTGAAAGAGTCAATTGGGAAGGCGGATGATGTGATGTCATAAGATCTGGCAGTCAGCAGATAAACTGATATGCTCTTGAAGTTCGGGACGAACATTATCTAGTCAGTGGGTGTTCAAAAAGTTTTAAGGGCCTAATTGAATGCTCGCCAAGGAGTTAAAAATGAATAGAGAAGTTTATGAACTGCCTGGTGTTAGATACTAAATGCGAAACTGCGTTTTAGTATGTTTTGTGCAAAGCAGGAAAGTTACAGTTTAATTTAAACTTCAATGACTGATGAAAAGTATCCAGTAATGTACAGTGTTATCGAAGCCGTTGATAATGCTTTTCGTTTTGTTTGTTTCGTAAGAGTCAGCTAATTATTGTTTATATGCTGTATAAATCTCTATTTGAGCAATTTCTTTAAAGCAATTCCATATCAAAGAAGTTGACTTTATAAAAACAATTTGTGTAATCTGGAGTTGTATTTCATTTATTTGTCCAATCCCTGCATTGTTATATGCATGTAGCCAGTTAGTCTCGTTTCCAGATCGAGGCTTATCAGAGCTTGCAGTGTAGAAATCTGTTATAGTCTAATTGCAAGAAACAGTGAGAAATTTCAAAAAGTATCTATGACTACGTTTCGATCAGCTTGACCTCCACTCAAGATGATTTAAAACTTCTGTTTTGAAAGAAAACCTCTCTGACTGCATCCCACTGCAGCTTGAATGTTACCAAGATATTACCGTAAATTCTCTTTTTAGCCCCCCTCTTAATTACGCCCCTTCTCTTATTAGCCCCCCTTTTCAGAAGGAAAAATTTAATTAGCCCCCACTCTCAATTTAGCCCCCCCCCAAATTTTCACTGATGCTGAAATAAGTAAACTGGACAAAAAACAGAGATTTTCATTTTATTCATTGGTCGTACAATACTTCGCATCAAATCAAAATTCACGCAATGTCTCTTCCAGTCACAACAGATCCGAAGACAAAGATTTTATGTGCATTAAGCACGGGCAATGTGAGAGCCTTTTACCAAAACTGCAGGCCGTTGGTACTCCGAGGGATGAGGTCCATCTTTTCGAATGCTCGATTTCAGTAGGCGACATGGCCCAAGAAGATATTTTAGAATTAATAATTGATGACGCTGACGATGACAATATAATTGATATAGAAGGCTGATATGATGTTTTTTATTTCGCAGATAACAAAAATTTTACCGCTATAAATGGTTTTTTATTATAAAATATTTATTTAGCCCCTCTCTCAATTTAGCCCCCCCTCTCTTATAAGCCCCCCTTTAATGTGCTGAAAAACAATAAGCTCCCAGGGGCTAAAAAGAGAATTTACTGTATATTGAATCATTCCTAGGCTTACGTCATCGATACACTCAAGAATTGAATCCAGAAATATTGACCTTATGTATTTGTACCTTGAGTATATAGAAATAAACCCAATTGCAGCATTGCTTCCAATTTCCAAGAAATTCCAATTCATGAAGATTCAATACAAAAAGTATCTACATTCAACACAAATATACTTCTAACAATGTCTCTACGCTCTCGTGATATTCTATTTAAGAAAAATTGGCGATGCAGAATGTCCCAGTCATGCTTTGCGCTCGTACAAATTCTATCATTGCTTTTGTATCTTGGATGATTCTAGCCTATCATATTTACCAACCAGTTGGAATTTAAATGGTCATCAAAATTCGTCGGTATAAAGTGCCTAAAAAGGTTGAAAAGGTAAAGGTTATTCACGTATTCGATATCGAACGTTGGGGAATGCGCTGTGAGGGCCGCATCATCATGGGCTACGGCGTTGTGTGGTAGGGTGGTCAGTTCCTTTCCATGCCGCTTTTTGCCTCCCTAGTATGTTTTACTCATTTTAAGCTAAGCGAATTGAGGGCCGTCCACGAGCCGGGATCGAACCCTGAGCGTTGGCACGGCAGTCGAGCAGAACCACTCGGCTACAGCAGCACCATCTTATTTATTTTCTTGTCTATACTTACGAAAATGCTATTAACCTTAATTTTCTTCCATTTGCACTTCTTTCTCGAATATTTTCTTGCCAATAGTTCTTTCTTGCGAATATTTTCTTGCCAATAGACAAGAAGTCTAGAAAGAAAAATTACTAGAAGTCGCATCGAAAACATCAACTAGATAAGGAAGCCACAAAATTAAAAAATTAAACAAACCTTGGTGTAGTTTGATGTAGATTATTTTCCATACCTAGAACCAAACGACGTGGGATTTATACGAGCAACGCGCGGCGTTCGACCTGATTCAAAGACATTCCAGTGGAGCCTGCCAGTCCTGAAAATGAACACTAGAAAAAGGGGAAAATACATAATTATTTGGGTCGGGTGGGCGTATAAATCCCACGTCGTTTGGTTCTAGGTATGGAAAATAATCTACATCAAACTACACCAAGGTTTGTTTAATTTTTTAATTATTTTCCATAACTAGAACCCAAACTCCTTTCGGTATTTATACGAGACTTCAAAGAGACTGGCAATGTGTTGATCAAGAAGACTTGAACTGAGAAATGATCGATTGTACGCACACAAATAATCAATATTAACAATCAAAATTGGCTAAAATGCTACTACCAAAGTTACTTTCATGAATTGTCTTATTATAAAAACGTCCAAAAGTACTCGAATTCGACCATCCTGCAGCTTTGTTTATAGCTGTTAGCGATAGGCCAATACTTCGTGCCTTGGATGTTGATGCAGCCCTAGTAGAGTGAGAGGTAAATACATTAATATCAATTCCTGCCAATTGCAAAGTGGTTCTCACCCAACGTGAAATGGTCGAGGTGCAAACAGATTGATGAGGAGATTTATAACTCACAAACAATTTCACTCTCGGACCACGTAGAGAGAATGATCTAAACAAGTACTGCTGTGTGTTAAATACAGGACAAATAGCCTTGCTATCAGGGAATGCACGGAAATCAAGAGGTGACTGATGAAAACCAGGTCTAGTTGTTTTGAGAACTTGATCAATATAACAAACAACTCTGTCATCAGAAACATCCATAAGTCTGATGTCAATAGCAGCAAATGTTTGGTCTCTCTGTCCTGATAGAAGACAAAACAATGTTACAAGACGAAAGGTAAGCATTTTAAATGGAATAGCATCTGCATCACCTAGGCCCTTTAGATACTGTAACACAACATCAACATCATAAGTGTTAACATGCTTAGGAATACTCGGCCGTATGTTAAACATCCCTCGCAGTAATCTCTTAACGAGTGGATTGTTACCAAATGACGAACTTGTATCTGGTGTCATAATATTGGATAATGCTGAACGAGCAGTGTTCATAGCAGAGTAGCCCAAATTATGTTTGTTAAATAGTTCTGTTAGGAAGTTAATTCCATGATTAATAGAATAATGTGTGGGACATATGCCCACTCTTTGACAGTAAACAAACCATCTGTCTAAATAGGAAGAATATTGTTTTGAAGTACCAGATGACCAAGATGAATCAATTATATATTTGGCTTCAGATGATATACCTATTGGTAATCTTTTGTTCCAGATATCATGCCAGCTAGCAGTTGCAGAGACTTCTGTAGTGGGTGCACAGCTTGTGGACGGTTTGGCAGTAACATTAGATGCTTGCTGGAAGGAATAACAATTCGTTCAGAAATCAACATTCTATTGTACAGAGAATACCAGGGACTATATGGCCAATTAGGAACAATTAGAAGACCAGTTGCATTGTCAGAACAAATCTTTTGTAAAACATTAGGAATAATTGCAAATGGTGGAAAGGCATAAAATTTAATGGTTGACCAGCTAAATGTAAACGAATCAATTGCTGAAGCCTCTGGATCTGGCCAAAACGATGCAAAAGGCTTAAATTGGCAATTGATTCTAGAGGCAAATAAATCAATGTCTAAGGTAACATTTAATTTTTTGATTACAAATTTAAACACAGATGGATTTAACTGCCATTCTGTTCGAAGCTCATAGTTTCTAGATTCAGCATCAGCTAAATAGTTCTGAACTCCTGGGATGAAGGACACAGATATGCAGTTTTGATTCTGGATAGCCCAATTCCAAATTTGCTTCACTTCTTCATTACAAGCCAAAGAACGACAAGATCCCATATTTTTAATGCTGTGTACTGCATTCATATTATCAGTCAAAATTTTAACATGTGTATTCCTTTGGTCAATCAAAGAAGTTAGCCCATACAAAATAGCCTTTAGCTCAAGCACATTAATATGGAGTTGTTGCTCATGGAGATTCCAAACCCCTCTTGTCCTTGTACTGCCTAAGACAGCCCCCCAACCAGTAGATGAGGCATCAGTAGCAATAACCATTTCAGGATTAGAGATTGCCATGTCATTAAATGAGCTTTCAACATTATCAATCCACCATCTTAAGTCATCATAGGCTGTTTTAGACAGTGACATGGCATGGTCAAAATTGCCCTTAGAAATAGCTAGTGCCTGAATTTTGTCATTTTCTAATGATCTATAGTGTAAAGGCCCAAATTTAACAGCAGGGAATGTGCTCACAATTAAGCCTATCACTGATGCAACATCTCTTATTGATAGGTTATTAGACATACACAATTTGGAACATTTATCTTTAATTTTCAATACTTTGGTTGATGGGAGGGTGACATTCATTGTTTCTGAATTGATAGTAAATCCTAGATAGGTAACACACTTAGAAGGAATAAAATTAGATTTTTTAGGATGAATAACAAAACCTAAAAAATCCAATAATTTGATTGTTTCAACAGTAGCTTTAATACAAGCATCATATGATTCATCAATTATTATGATATCATCAATATATGCTGAGACAATGAAACCTTGCTTTCTCAAGAACGCTAAAGCAGGTTTTAATAATTTTGTAAACTTCCTTGGACCAGAACATAATCCATTTGGTAACGCTAAGAACTTAAACAGTTTGTCTTGATACTTGAACTTCAGATACTTTTGACAGGATTCAGATATGGCTACTGAATAATAAGCATCCTTTATATCTACAGTACACATAAAACAATTTTGTCTAACTAATTTGATAACCTTGTCAAAGGTGTCCATCTTAAAATGCATATATGGCATAGACTCGTTCAATTTCCGCAAATTAAGAATAAGTCTAAAAGAATCACCATCTTTTGGGACAAGAAAAATTGGGGAGATAAATTCATCTCCTTCATGATCACATTCTGTTATAACATGTTTATCCTGTAATGTTTTAATCTCTGCTAGAATAAACTCATTTTCTTCAGCTGAAAATGGCACAGCATAATTTCTCTCAAAATTGAGAGGCAATGAGAATTCAAGCTGTAAACCAGCTACAGTTTGTAAAGTTTCAAAGTCACTAGTGACAGTATACCAACGTTCCAGATGATTTTTAAGTGCACCTGCTCTAAATATGTCAATCTTGTACAAAAGATATTTTGTCAGTTTAGGGAGAAATGAAATGAAATTATTTACATTTATCCCTTGTAGGGCTTCTGCTTCCGCCGATATGGACGAGACTTCTGGCCTTTCTCTAAAAAAGACTGCTGAGTAGGGCCATTATAAAAAGAGTGCTGTGTTCGCCTATTAAACACTGGTATCTGCCTATCATGTTGTCTATACCTAGTAGACTGAGGCATCGGTTGAGTAGCAGCAGAGGCAAGACGTTTAGACTCCCTTTCTTGCTTCAGGCGTTTTTCAATGTCGTCTCCAAACAAATGGTTTGAGACTTCACGAGTAGGGTCACATAGTCCCTGTACATCCTTGTTAAGAATAGGTCTTATATTAAGCCTTCGTAAATTTGAGATATTGACACTGGCATTAGAGAGAACAGATAGTGCATCAAAGGCTTTCAAAACAATAGCCTTTGTGTCAATAAGGCTATGATTCTTTTCTGCAAGAAGTAAATCATCAGCCAAAGTTGAAATGATGTGGGAGGATTTAGCAACAGAATGGTGAACATCATATAATTTCCTCTCCCTAGCCAAAACAGAATCCTTAAATGAAGGCATTTTCATTATCAACTTTGGCATAGCTGGAACAGAAATACTCTCAAGGTTAAGAGGGTGCTTGTGCCTCTTAAAAACCTGAGCAACTGCTTTTCTGCTGGGATTTTTCCACTGTTCCTCAATTTTTGAGGCCAGCTTATCAGAGGAAAGACCCTTGCCTTTTTTGTCTAAAACTGCCTCGGATAACTCATTATCAACAAAGTCCAAGACTTCTTCTTCCATGTTAAGATCTGGGACAGATGCCTCAGAATTCACTGTGGAAGGCGCATGAAACAACGAGTCAATATCCACTCGCTTTGAACGTTTGGATGATATAGCATCCTGATTTTCAACGGAAGAAAAAGCTTCCGGATAACATTTTGTGTGAGACACAGAATCGTGCTCAAATGAATTATGGGTCTGACATACAGACATTTCATCATAAGACCTCTTGCGACGAGTTGGTGAATGCTGGTCAGGTCTTACAGCTGTGCAGGAAGAACTCCGCTCTTTATCCCTGCCTATATTATAATTAACGAACTCTTTAAAAAGTCCAGTCAATTCGTTTAAATCTCTTCGTACATTCAATAAATCTAACGACGAATGCGTATGAAGAAAACCTGGTTGTGTTTCGGAAGAACACCCAGGATCGACTTCGACTCCTGAACCTTGCACGTGTGGGGTCAGAGGTCGAAGGTCACTAGTAGCATACAAATTATCTTGGTTATCCATAACTAAAAAACAAATTGTAACTAGTGTAAATATCCACGTTAGATGTAGCTTGAAAATAAAAATGGAATACGATAAATTCAAAACGAGAAAAGTAAAAAACCGACTTGTTCAAACACGTGGCTCCACTGGCTTCTTATCAGCTCGAAACACCAACAGGTTGAAGGTCGAACGCCGCGCGTTGCTCGTATAAATACCGAAAGGAGTTTGGGTTCTAGTTATGGAAAATAATTTGGTTTTGGAAGTAGCGAACTGGGTGTATGACAACAACTTTGCTTCTTGTTGCAGTGCAGAATGGACGAACTGAATAAACTGTAAACAAACATGTATTTGACGAACTAATGCTGAATGAATTTGACCTTATAGGCCTTTATAGACAATGATAACATTCGCTAAAGCAATCCAGGCGCGCAACCAGAAATTTCAGAGGGCAGGGGTCCAAGACACAAAAAGGGCACTAATTAAACTTCAGAAAAGGTCCACCGGGGCATTTGTTTAGGTACACCGAAAATATGAGCAGTTAGTAAATCTGCAAATATTGTACGCCAGACAAGGGAAACTGATCAATAGAGAAAAGTTGTGGTGTACGGTTTATTTTGTGGTGAGGTGTGATGAAGTTTAGGAGGCCCGAAGGAGGGGGGAAATGGAAAAAACAATGCCTCTTGCGAGCGAAGCGAGCAAAAATTTTGCCACCACACCCTTGCAAATAGCTTAAATTCACTAATTCGTTTAAGATGTTTTACTTTTTAATTGTAATTTTGTTACTTTTAATAAATTCCATTTAAAAACGGAATTCATTGCTTTGTGAGGCTCCCTAGACCTCGAGGCCCTAGGGCAATTTGCCCCTTTGTCCCCCTCTCGGCGACCCTGCTGTCATCTCCTTTTCCCAGCGCCAGCTCACTTTTGAATAGCAACCCATCATCTTCCATATCCGAAGACATTTTGCGCTTTAAAATATTATTATTGAATTCTTTGCTTCGCACTACAGATTGGAGGAGGTTGAACTGTTCCACGAGCCTTGCCTTCAGCTGGTTTCTGTCTCCAAGTCTTGCCTTCAGCTGATTTGTAATACTGACAAGGAACGGAACAGCTGAACATCAACTTTTTGTGCCATGTTTACTGCTTGCTAATACCAGTCCGAAAATATTTCCCTGCATTCGCTCGTTTCATGCAAAGGTCTTCTATGACCCTGTCAACTATGTGACAGGCTTGAAAAATGTCTTGGTTTTTATTCTTGTAACTTTTTACCAGAGGTCGTAGAGGCTCTATCCCGTTCAAAGTCTTGTGCCTTTATTTTGGTTTTTGAGTCGCACAACCATTCTTCTTCAAAGCCAGTGCGTAGCGCATCATAAAACACGCTGTAGAGTTGGGGCTTGAAGATAGACTCTATTACTGCAACATGATGACGTTCGACCCAACAAGTACGTGAAAGTTTGACTAAATCATTTATCTGTATTCCTGCGAGGTCCATTACATCTCCGGAGTGTGTCATTTACTGTATGACCAACCATTTTAGCGTAATAGTTAAAATATTCAAGCAATTTTCCAGGAAAAAGGGCACTTTTCCCCTTTTGAGAAAAAGGGCAGGGGTCTGGACCCCCAGGACCCCCCCCGTAGTTGCGCGCCTGCAATCTTGCTCGTGATGGACTTCAAATAAATAAGCAATCTGAGTCGATTTATAAAATATTGTTAGTGGTTATAAAATAACAATGTCTCACTCAAAAAGCATAGACACGAGTTAAATGTACTACTTCATGAAAACAATATTGATGTCATGGCTTTGAGTGAGACTAGGTTGAGTGGTAAGATTGAGGACTCGTCTCTTTCAATTGAGGGTTACAAAATCTTTTGGCACGACAGGAACGAAAAGGGGGGTGGGGTAGCAATCTACCTAAAAGAGCAAATCCCCAATCCCCTCCAAATTTTAAATGTGATGCCCTTGAGTTGATCTGCCTTGAAATTAAACCAAGCAAAGGCAAATCCTTTTATCTGATCAGCTGGTATCGACCACCTACCGGTGCGAAAGATACCGTATCATTCGAAAATGTGTCCAAAAAAACAATAGAATTGTTGATAGAAGAATCACGAGAAACCATAATAAAACTGCCTTCCAACAAGACCTTAATGCCATTGATTGGGAGAGTTTTTTGAAGCCCTTTTTCCAGGATCCTGGTTAGATGGCATCTGTGTTACAAGAACTGTTTGAATCAGTTCTCAGCCTACATGCTCCAATTCGAAAACGAAAAAGAAAAACTGAATATGCTCCGTGGCTCAGCTCACACATAAGGTGTCTGATGATGAGAAAGGACAAAGCAAAAAAGGGTTCTAGGCAGAATCCAGAACAATGGCCTCTATGTAAGAAATTAAGAAACAAGGTCACAGAAACAAGGTCAGAGAAGTTTTGTTAAAATTTGTAATAAGTTTTGTTAAAATGCAATAGGAGGTTAAGTCACTAAATACAACTAGACGCTTAGGCATATTCTATAACACCATTCACATGTGGGTCATTCAGATATTACATAATCAAAGAAGGAGAGTTTTTCAAAATCTTTACAGCCCTGGGGGGGGGGGCTTATTCGAAAGTGGGGGCTTACTGATTTCAGTAAAAGTCATTTAGGATGGGGGCTCACTCGAGGGTGGGTTTCTTCGAAGGGGGAGGGGGCTTATGAGGACTTAAGGTATTCTTAAAGATCATCATCTTTCATGCCAGTTGCAATGTCTATCAGTGATATGTTGAAAGCACGTACTTTCATTGCGTTTCTGATTAGCAGTCTCCTATGGCCAGTTAAGATCAGTTCAGGAAAACAATAGATATCAATTTCCTATGGAGCTTCTCATCACTCTATTTCGTGCTTGTAAAAATATTCTTTTCCCTGAACATTTCCACCATCATTCTCCTTTCCCTGCCCTAAAAACCTTTTCCAAACATTAGTGTTAGTAGCCAAACATGGCTTGCTTACATCTCATTGCCTATATCTCATTGCCTAAACCTCATTGCCTATATCAGAGAAGAAAGCCTACATCTCATTGCTCGCTCTTTGTAACTCCACCCCTTTCAGAGAGAGTTATTCAATAGGCCTCAATGATGTATGTCGAAATTTATTCACTTAATTTAAGACTTTTGAAAGTATTGTATGCTTAAATGATTTCCATTTTTCGTAGACAACCTGCTGCCTCCTTTGAAGATCTTGTTTACATAAAACCATACTGCAGAATAATACCATACCTTGCAGGAATGCTGCTCGGATATTTGCTGTTCAGGAAAGTTCAAATTAAAGGGCAATTGAAGCCAGTGAGGATTTTGCTCAATTACGCCATTATTGATTTGAAATAGGAATTACCTGCATAATATGCTAGTCAATTTTATGTTGTCACATCAATAGCAGAATCACCAACACCAGATGTTGACTAAGTGTCTCTTCCGTATATGAATCTGTTGTAAAATGTAGCACCAACAAAAGTAAATATTTTTGTATTTTTGGTAATTGAATTGGTATTTTCATCTTTTTGGTCTCCTAACATTTCATCTTTTACCTGAGGGGGTGTAATAAATATTAACGAGCCATTGCCGTAGAAATAGGCTTTACTAAGCAATAAGAACGGAGGCTACCACACGTGCTTACAAAAAAACAAAAAAGTGGCCAAACAACACAAAACCGCTGACCTAATAAAACCGCTGACCTAACAAAACTGCTGAAAAGTTAACAAGTTAACAAGTTGTAGTTCAACCCAACGAATAGTCATAGTTCATAACAGGAGGAAAGATTTTGAAAAGATTAGAACAAGTACTTCAGGTAAAATGTCAAAAAATCTAGATATTCTCTTTTTTGCGAATTTTTTATGTCATATTTCATATTTATTTTTTCAGAAACGCAATTTTTGGAATTTTAGTTCAACTGTACGGTGACAGCTTCTGCCTTGATTCTGAATCTCAAATGTGCTGTCACTAGATTTTCGGCTTGCGTTTCTTGAACCTTCTCTTGTTGAATACACGTATACTCCCTTAACGGTTTACCTGTTATTCTTATCTTTCAGTTGTTTGCTGTCATTGGCTGGGCAGTCGCCATTGGCGGTGGTATGGCTGTTGTATATGGAACATGGGACACCACAAAGAAAGGTGGAAAACCCTTCACAGAAGCAGAGAACATTTTATATGGCTCACTTTCCAGGCTTACTTGGTCAGTTGCTCTTTCGTGGGTGATTTTTGCTTGCCATACGGGCGTTGGAGGTAAGGTCAGGACATTATTTACTCTTGGAGGCTGAGAAGTTTTCGATGTATACAATAAAATCAAAATTTTATGACATCCATCGCGTGTTGATTTATTAGAAATATTAGAAGTTTAGAACAAAATATTCCAGTATTGAAGATGGAAAAGTCCCCAAGTTTTAGTGCAAGTTCTGCAAAGTGTATCTGTGCAAACATGTTAGCGGCATGTTAATCTCCGCTTTTCAGATCGAAGTTCTTATATTACTTTTAACGAAAATTGCACAGAAATAGGCCATTTTTTTTAAAGAAACCATCATTCATCAACTTTTATCAATTTCTATAAAACACTCGCTTTTTTCATAAAATGCCTTCAGCAAAAGGCTTTTTGATCATTAAATTAAATTCTAGGCCTAGTAAACAGCATTCTGTCATGGCGTGCATTCATCCCCCTCAGTCGCTTGACTTTCGGAGCTTACCTTCTACATCCATTGGTCATGATTATTTTCTATCAAACCAAGCAGTCGCCAAGAGCTTACACAGATATGGATATGGTATGTGAATAGTATTTTGCTCGGATAGAGTTTTAGTATTTGTAGTCTTATTACGTGTGCGGTATTGACAAAAATACATGAAGCTCCATGAACTGTCAAATTTTCAACGATAGTTCCCTGACAGAAAGCTCCTGACAGGTATTGCTTTAATAGACTATATAAACCTTCCCTGCACGATATTTTCTTGGCTCGAAATATTTGATATTCCAATCATATAAAGTTATTTATGACAATTGACAATTATTATCTTTCTGCATGATTTATCTTTATCTTTAACTTTCTAGGCTTTTCAGTTTGTGGCAATCACAGCATTTTCATATGCATCAGCTTTTATCCTGGCACTTGGTGTTGAGTACCCAACGCTCAATTTGGAAAAGAAAATCTTTGGCCAATAGAAATCCATACATGCTTCAGGCCAGCTTGCTGTTCGCGCTAGAGTACCGACTTTAAAATTGATTCAATCACCCAGTATACCATAACGATTGGTTTTAATTAGATTTTTACCCAGTCGATCTGCAGTATGATTTAACAGGTATCTAAAACAAATCTTCTTTTCTTAATTCCTATCTGTCTTTTATGAATTTTTATATTTACTTAGGTTGGATGTTTTTATCTTTTAATGCAGACAATGGTTGACTTTATAACCATCCCCAACTCCCCGCACCCTCCCCCGTAGTTCCCCCAAAGTGCATCATTATCCTGACTATTACAAAGTTTAATTTTAAGAGAGTTCACGGGGCTCATCACAAAGATGAATCGTGAAAGAAATTAAATATAAAAACCCCTAATTCGATGGTGCATGGATGGTGTGTTCTTACGTCTTGTTAGTTCGATGTATTTGGTAGCCGCTTTTTTTGAATTTCTTT